GGGATTTAGCTCAGTGGTTCTGGTGCCTGCCTGGCAAGCGCAAAGACGAGTTCGATCCCTGGTACCAAAAAAAAAAAAAAAAAAAAACCCAACAAAAAACCCTTCCTTGGGCTGGGGATTTAGCTCAGTGGTTCTGGCGCCTGCCTCACAAACTCAAGGGCCTAAGTTGGACTCCAAGTACCCCCTCAAAACCTTCCTTGTGCCTGCCTCCCAAGTGCAAGGTTCTGAGTTTGAGCTCCAGCATCCTACCCCCCAACACAAAAAATAAAACACCTTCCTTGCCAGGCATTGTGGTGCATGCCTATAATCCCAGCACTTCGGAAGCTGAGGCAGGGGGATTACTGTGATTTCTGAGGCCAGCCTGGACTACACAGTGAGTTCAAAGTTCAAAGCTAGCTTGAACTACATGAGACCCTGTCTCAAATAACAAGTAAAAAAATCTTCCTTGCAGGAGGTTACAAAGACCTGATGAGATGTATGCTGAACACCCTGCATCTATCGGACAGAAGGCAGGCAGAGGAGGCTTGGCTGCCTCAATTTTTCAGCACTTCCTCTCCCATGAACCTGCAGTGGTGAGCTGTTGGTCTGGATAGCTGACAACCTGATTCTGGGGTTAAAGTGCCCATTCTGACAAACCAGGCAATAAATATCCCATAGTCTTGCCTCTTCAAATTCCCACCCTTAACACAGCTTTGTGAAGTAGATCCTACTGAGCTTGTTTTATAGAAAAACAAACGGAATCAGAGTAGTCAAGTAATTTGCTTCAGATCATACAGCTTATATGTAGCATAACTGGAATCTGAACTCAGACATATCTGGGTCTGAAGCCCACACTCTACCACTTGCTACATGTTGGATAAATGTTAGCCCAGTGTAGAGGACAAAAACAAAAACAAACAAACAAACAAAAAACACCACCACCAACAAAACAACACCCACACTACTTCTCAGTCTCCCACAACACTTTACACCCAGATCCCACTCTGTTAACCTTCTAGCTCTAACATTTTGCCCAGGGGCCAACTGCAGGCCCATCTTTTATCCTGTGACATGGACAAGAGGTGACAGGGTCTTTCAGAGCTGGCTGGCCAACACCGCAGGGACTGGCAAGCAGAGTGGGGGCAGAAGTTGGACACTGACCCACCGCTCTTCTTGGTCTTTAGGACTATGTCTTTGTCGCACTGTGGGCACTTCCGGATGGGCTCTGGCAAGGCTGGGTAGATGTCTTCTTGCTGGGGTGTCTCTGTCCCTTCCCCAAAGTACTGAGACAAGGCCTCGTCCAACCTGAGGGAAAGGCAAAAATTCACTACCGCTGGCAATTACTGCAAAGGCACTGATGAGACCTGTATGTGTCCATAACATACACAGCAAGGAACCAGCTGATCTGATGCACAGAAGGCAGAGGACACTGGGCTCATGAAGCAGCCCTGGCTCCCCTTAAGACTCCTGGCTCCTGGAATAAACCCAGCTGCAGCCATACATATGAAACCACATTTGGTTCATGTACAAACTCTGGAGTGTCCGTCAGCATTTAATGTTAGCTCACGCATTTCTTTTCAAAAGTGACATCAGATAGCATGAAGAATGAAAAACTGTAAACTGTCATTTTCTACCATACACATAGATAGTATGGGATTTATTTCCCCCACACACCACGCAACAGTCCAGGTTCGTGTCCTCGAATTCAATTCAAACCAATCTCTTTGGAATTTGTATCAGACCTTTTTATGGTTTTTATCTAGATACTCCCTCAAAGCCTCATGTACTCAAAGCTGAGGCTTTTGAAAGGTGGTTAGGTTATGGGCCAGGATGGCTGAGTTGCTGTTAGAAGGTAGATTTTGGCTGGAAGAGGCAGGTCACTGTGAGCATAACCCACAAGAGACATTTTCATTCCCAGTTCTTTCTTGACTCTGCTTCCTGTCCACCGTGCTGTGAGCAATTTTTCTCCACCATGCCCCTTTGCCATGCCCTATGGGCTGAAATGGGAGCAAAATTAAACCACTCCTCCTTTATGTTGCAAGTTGTGGGTGTTTCACCTCAAGAATGAGAAAGTGACTAGGAACTCAAAGATTGAGGGCTCAGTCCCCAAGACTGCCTGAACCTGAGAGGCCAGTGGCAAACTCCAAACTGTGAACTGTGCTTCTGAACAATGGCTGTAAACTGGGTTTCTCATAAGCCCCTTCTCAGGTTTAAGTCACTAGAGCAGCTCACAGAACTCTGAGGGACACCAGATGGAAGAGATGCGTGGGCCAAGGACCACAGCAGGGACGTGGGGTTTCCATGCAGTCTCTATACGCCACCTTCCAGAACCTCCACTCGGCTGCTGGAAAACTTAGAACCCTGTGTTTTTAGGGCTTTATGGTGCCTTTATTAATTCAGTATGATTGATAAATTGTTGACCACAGGCGATCAACTCAAGTTTCAGCCTGGTCAACCATCCCTAGTGGGTAAGGGTGGGGTGAAGGTGGAGTGGCGAAGCTGAAAGCTCCAACCTGTATGTAATCACATGGCTGGTCCCTGGCGACAGGCCCCCCATCCAGGGGCTGTCAATGCCTGACTCTCTGCCCGTCGTCTGATTAACAAACAAGACACTCCCCACTTGGAGAGTCCAGGGGTTTTAGGACTTGTGTGTGCCAGGAAATGAGGACCAAATATATATACATACACACACACATATATGGACATGTATATTAGTGTGTGTATGTATATATACACACACATATATACACACATATTACACTTATCTGATATAAATTACAGAATCACAAGTAGAAAATGTGCTAAGTAACAAAACAGACACATGCTGCTTGCTAAATGGCCAACACCATTCATTCATTCATTTTGTGATGTTGGAGATCAAACTCAGGGCCTACAATACTCAGCTACATCCCCAGCCCTTTTTTATTCTGAGATGATCTAAGTCACTCAAGTGCCAAGGGTGGGCTTGATCCTCCTGCTTTAGCCTTCCAAAGTACTGGGATTACAGGTGTAATCCTGGCTTAAACTTAAGTGGACAATTCTGAATATTCCTGATAACAAATAGATCATTTCCGAGGATGTGGATTTACTGATTTAAAGACTATATGGCTGAGCCAGGCATGGTGGTGCACACCAGTAATCCCAGCACTCGGGAGGCTGAGGCAGGGGGATCACTGTGAGTTTGAGACCAGCCTGGGCTACATAGTGAGTTCCAGGTCAGTCTCAACTACATAGTGAGACCCTGTCTTAAAAAACCAAAAAACCAAAAAAAAAAAAGACCATATGGCTGGGTGAGTTAGCACATGCCTATATAATCCTAGCTTCTTGGGGGATGGTGAGGCAGGAAAATGACAAGTTTGAGGCCAACCTTGGAAACTGTAGAAAAGTTACCAAGACCTTGCCTCAAAAGTAGAACACCTGTGTAGCATGTGTAAGGCCCAGAGAGTATAATCCCCATCTGGAGCCTTCAAACTGAGCTTCACACCTATAATCCCAGCACTCTGGGATGACTGCAAATTTGAGCCCAATTTAGTGAGTCTCACTATGAGTTCAGGCTGGCCCTGAACTCACTATGTAGCTCAGGCTGACCTTGAACTCATAGAGATCCTCCTGCCTCAGCTTCCCAAGTGCTGGGATTATAGGAACGAGCCCATGGCCAGCTAATCTTGTCTCAAAAAAAAAAAAAAAAAAAAAAAAAAAGGAGATGTAGCTCATTGCAAAGACCTTGAAATAACACCCACACCCACAACAGGTCAAATTAATTGATGAAGCTTATTTTGACCATTTCAGAGGAAGAAAAGCCAAAGAACCAGAGCCCGTGTGGCCAGCTTCCCCAAAAGTTAATGAGACTACTCGTAAAGATAATCCTGCAGGGTCAGTATCCCAAAGGGCCTGGGTCAGGAGTAGCTGCATCTGCTTGTTTCTGCTGTCCCCAAGAACTCTCATTTCTCATGGGAATTGCTATCGCCAAGGCCTGGGGCTATAGGACCTCTGGGGCAGGAAAGCAGGGTCTGGCACTTACTTCTTCGCCTTAGCCACTGCTTCAGTGAAAACCTGTTTGTATTTCTGCACCTGCTGCCTCAGAACCACAGACTTGTCCTTCTTGCCTTCACAGATCAACTTCAGATCAGCTTCCAGCTCAGCCCGGAGGTCAGGCTTAGACATCTCATAGCCCATGGAATCGTAACCTGTAGGAAAGAGGAGTGCTCTGTGAGGCTCCACATGATACCCACAGGGCTGGGGCAATCTCCCTCCTCCTTTACCTTCCACCAGTCCCATGCCCAGGTGCCCAGGGAGGAACCGCTTGTCAGAAGTGAGCCCAACGTACATCCGGGCTTTGATGGTCTCAATGTGCTCTGCATGAGTGGCATCCGTACCTGGAAGCCAATTCCTGGTTACTTTGAGGCAACACAGACAGCGGCATCCACACTGCTTGTAGGTACCTTGGTCACGCTGGCCCCTTTTCTACTTGGGCAGCCAATGAAGGAGAGATGCTTCTATTCACATCTAGCTCTGGTTACAAATTATACTGGTGACTTCAACCCTCCTGCCTCCTTCCACCCAATGACTTATCTTCACTGTCAATTTCAGCTTTACAACTCCTGCTTTAAATTCTGCTCTCCTTCAAGTCAGGACCAAAGCTACAACCCACCTCGTAGCAACTGCATTATTTCCACATGCAACGTTCTCACATGTGCCCATTTCTGGCCTCTTTCTCCACACAACTTAGTCTAAACTGTGGCCAAAGGGACCTTTTAAAATGCAGCTGTGTTCTTAGAGAAATGCAAACCAACAACACACTCACGTGTGTGAGTGTAGTAAGTAAGACAGATAACAAGTGCTGATATAATAAACCTCTCAGCTGGGTACACAAGGCCCTGCATAATTGGCTCAAATCATCTCAGCTTTACCTTCTATGACCCCACCTCTACAGCCATAGGAGGCCTGTGCTCTCCTGTTCCCATGTCCTTCTCAAACCCCGCCAAGGATGGACTTGACTTTGCCTGCTCTCGTTTGGTTTTTCTGACAGAGTGAGTGCTTACAGGGAAAGATTAGGTCTTAATCCTCTTTCTGATCCTTGTGCCTGACTGTTCCACAATTCCTGTCTGACACTTCAAGGGTATTCTCATCTGAGCTTTGAGTCACCAGAAACATCTACTTCATTTTATGGGTGCCATGTGAGATTTAAGATCCCTGGCTGAGGCTGAGGTGTAGCTCAGAGGTGGAGTGCTTTCCTAGTATTTGCAAGGCTCTGGGTTTGATGCGCACCACTGAAAAGAAAAAAACTCAAACAAGAACTTTAAAAAACAAAATAAACAGAAACAGCATAATGGCTGGTTATATGGACCATATTTTTATAATGCACACCCTTTGCAACTTTCAGTAAGCTTAGAACCTCTCCAAGCCTCACTTCAAAACTAACTACAAAATTAAGTAGGAATAAACGCCTGAGGGCCACGGGCTCTCCGAACAAACTACTGACCAATGCCGTGTTTCTCCATGAGGGTGATGAGGTCGGCCTCAGTGAGCAGTTGTGGAGGGCTGGTCTCCCCATCTAGCATCTCTATAGTGCTGGGCTGAAAGTGGGAGCCTTCCTCATAGACAGGGAGGAGCTACAGGGAGCAGCAGGAGTACAGGTCAGATCATTCTGTTCTCACCTTCAGGTACTGCTCCTCAGCCAGCACAGTGTTGGAGGATAGCTGTCATCCCTTCCCGGGACCCGCCTCATTATTACCTTGTCACTCCAGCGATCATATGGATACACATCCAAGTAGTTTCGAGCTAGAATCATGAGACCATGGGCCACAAAGCGTTCCTGAGCAATGTCAATCTCCACAGTTGTCTCCTGTCCCTGGGCATCTTGGGAGCAGCAAGCCAGGAAATGACGAACAATGAACTCATATAGTCGCCGTTCATCTCCCTGAAGAAAAGGAAAAAGGGCCTGAAACTCCTTCCAGAATAGTACTTCTAAAGCATACCAGTGCCACTGGTAGTGTCAGCCTGGCTTATGCCACCGTCAGTCTAAAGTTTTACATAGAACAGGACACACAGCTGCTCAGGCCCTGCATCAAGAGGGTCCCTGGAGCGCTCATAGGGTTTGGTTGATACACCTTACAACTCTAATTAGGCTAAAGATAAGTAAGGGAGTCACTGTTCTCTCAATGAATCTGAGAGAAATAAGACAAAGGCATAGGAAGTTAGCAAGACACTCCTGAATATAAGATTTGCAGAGTGACAGTTTGACAGCCCAGGGCCCACTCTGTATATGCACGTAAGCAGTGACTTGTGAGGGTAAATTTCCACCAGTGAGCTAAGCAAAGATTTAGGGAGACTCAATCTATCAAAAGATCACGGGAGGGCCGGGGATTTAGCTCAGTGGTACTGTGCCTACTTTGCAAGCTCAAGGTTCTGAGATTGATCCTCTGTACCCCACCACCCAAAAAAACATCACAGGACATTTACACGCATATTTAATAATTTCCCTCCTAAGAATTGATTCAAAGGAAATTAAATGGAGACCTGCACAAATGTTATTAACTGTAGTGGATCATGTATCAAAAAGTTGGAAACAGCCAAGCGTGGTAGTGCATGCCTGTAATCCCACCACTGCGGAGGCCGAGGCAGGAAGACTGACATAGTTTGAGGACAGCCTGGGCTACACAGCTAGGTCCAGGCCAGCCTGAACATAGTAGGACCCTGTTGTAAAAACCCTGAAAAAAAGGGAAGCAATTTAATCTTACATAAACAGATTTGGCAAAATAGGTTATGGTATATCGATGTGATTGTTAGGAATCGTTTTTGATGATACTGGGTAAATCCAGGGATTCGCGCTGAGCTTTATCCCCATAACCCCAGCTTTTTTAAAACACTGAGACAGTGTCTCACACTAAGTTACTAACTTGCTCAGGCTGAGTTCACACTGCCACAACCTCCCAGAGCACTGGGATTAGAGGTGTGTGCCACTACACTTGGTGCTATGAGACTTCTACATATACAGCAAATGGAGAAACTCTCATAATACAGTATTAAATGGTAGTTTTCAGAGAGCTATTGGAGATTGGCTTTATTTTAAGAATACTACATGCTTGTGTTGCAAATGTCCTGAGTAGGAGTTGGACGATAGGCATTTTTCCCCTTATGATCTGTTGCATTTTTTAAACTGTCTAGAATAAAGATGTGGTACTTTTTAAATGAGAAAGAATATGTATAATTAAGAAGATCAAAGTTTACTTGGCTGCAAGTATCAAACAAGCCTGAACAGCTGCTGTTGGCACAGCACTTACTCCTGACCAGGAAACGGCTGAAGCCAGGCAGAGCCGTGTGCGACCACTGTGGCGAAAGTAGCGATGGGAAAGAATGTGCAAGGGGAGGCCGTGGAAATCAATCTAGTCTCAGAGGATAGTTAGGCTTTCACCAGGCAGCAAGGGACCAGAAAGGCTGAGGCTTGCTGTAGGTGTGGAGACTGTGCAAGAGCCGGGGGAAGGTGAGCAGCCACATCTGTGAAGAACCAGTAAGGAGGCAGCAGAGCAGACCCAGAGTAGAGCCCACAGTGGGGGACCTTGCATGAAAGCCAGGCACAGGACTACGAAGTAGAATTCTGATACTGAATCCTCTTTTATGAGATGCAATTGATATTTCAAAATTACTTACTTCATAATATCAGAACCCATAGAACAAATTCAAATCCTACTGCTGAAAGGTTTTAGCAGGAGGTACACTCAGGGACACCAACCTGCAACGTGCTGGCATACTTGGTGGGGTGAATGGGAGGGTGAGCTTGGTCAGACTTATTTCCATTGCGTGGGGTGGGGCCACCCCGTTCTAAAATGCTCTGGGCAAAGGGCCCCCAGTCTGGATCCTGTGTCTGCTGTTCCACCAATGCCATCAGGTTTAAGTCTCTGGGGAAAATATTTGTCTCTGTTCGGGGATAGCTGATGTACCTAAAAGAAAGGTAAACAAAAAGGAAAATAAATTGCTAAGCTCTCACTGGTTTTTAAAAACTGGAGTCCTCAGATAACACCTGTAATCACTCATCTGACAGCCAACTCAAACGAAAAGCACCTAGTGACCCACGCTGACAAAAGGTTTAAGATAGGACCCCTTTAGGGGTGAAAGCAGTAAGTTCTCTTGCTAGGATACTTGGAGAAGCAAAAGGAGTGAAGGCACAACACAGTCTAAGATAAAGGCCCTCAGCAGCAATACTGAGGCCTCTCTTCGGGTTAGACTAACAGAACAACTCTGAGCCATGCATTAGCCTTGCTGGTCCTGAGTTCCCACAGTAGACGGTCCTGTAAATTTTCTTTCTTTCTTTTGCGGTACCAGGGATCAAACTCGACCTTGTGCTCATGAGGCATGCACGATACCACTGAGCTAAACTCCTCAGCCCATCCTGTAACTTTTCTTAAAGCATACAAAGAACAATGTCCAATAAAACTATGATGTGTACTCTGCAATTTTAAATTTTCTGTTGGTTACTTAAAAATTATTGAAGCTGGGTATGGTGGTACATGTCTATAATCCCAATATTTTGGAAAGTCTGAGGGCAGGCTGGACAACTTAGCAAGACCTTGTCTCAAAATAAAAAATATAGGGCTGGGGATGCAGCTCAATACAAAAGCCCTTGGTTCAATTCCTAGTACTAAAAAAAAAAATTTATTCAGACAGCTTAGTGGCAGAGCAATGGCCTAGAATGTGTGAGGCCCTGGATTTGGTCCCTAGTCCTACAAAAGAGAAAAAACTTACTGATATGTTTTCCATCTTATTTTCACACGTCTTTAAAATCCAGTGTATATTTTATACTTATAATACATTCATTCACTCATTCATTCATTTTTGCAGTAGTAGGGATCGAACTCGGGACTCTGTACTTGCAAGGCAGACACTGTGCCACTGAGCTAAATCCCTGGCCCTATAATACATTTTAATTAGGACAACTGAAATTTCAAGTGCTCAACAGCCACATGTTGAATACTACAGCTGGGGAACCTCAGTGCTGGGGTGCTTATGATAGCCAAGGTAGGGACGATTTTGTGAATATTTGCCTGTCTCTTGCCAAGGCCCAAGGGAGAGTTGCTAATCCTAATCCAAGAGTAGGATTTTGAATTGTTCAGTGATAGTGTTTATCTAGCATGCATAATCTCAAGTCTTGAGAGAATATTTACCCTTGAGTGTAGAGCTTTTCAGCAATTCTCATAGTTTCTTTAGCATTTATTCTCAACTTGCGAGAAGCCAGTTTCTCCAGCTCCTATTAAGAGAGTCAAAAAGCCTGTTAAGGTGCAGTAAGTCAGGGAATCACAGAACCACACAATTCATCTGCAGCAGATCTAGCCCCTGTCATATTACCTGCTGTTCTCATTCTGAAAAGGAAGAACTATGCTCAAGGAAGATTTTTGCACCTGGTAGGCAGATGCCAACCAGTGATTCTCAGACACTAATGTGTAGCTCTAAGATTAACCTGGGGAGCCAGAAGATTTAGGGGTCCAACCACTGGAGAATATGATAGGGTAGGGCTGGGACAAAAGTTGACATCTTTTTTTGTTTGACAGGGTCTTGCTATGTAGTTCAGGCTGTCCTTCAACTCACTCTGTAGTACAGGCAGCAATCCTCCTGCCTCAGCCTCCCAACTGCTGGGTTTACAGATGTGTACCACCATCTGCTTTTTCTTCTTTTGGTACTGGGGATTGAACTCACGACCTTGTACTTGCGAGGTAGGCACTGAGCTAAATCCCAGGCCCTTGACATCTGCATTTTTAATACACAATCTAACATACTGATACTAAGGGAGGCAGTCTAAGAACTACATTGTGGGAATACCACTCAAGCCCTAGAAAATTTCACTGGATGATGAAAAGCATCCTGTGAGGCCTCCAAGGGAATAACTAGCTGATCTTTTTTCCTATGTGACACTCCAACAACACTGCTGACTACATGTGAAAGCATATTTAAGCAGTGAAGAGTAAAGCACACGTTGTGCTGGGGGGGTATAAGCTCAGTGGCAGAGTACTTGCATGGAAAAAACAAGATACTCCAACTGTAATGCTATAAAATACATACATTAAAAAAAAATAAGAGCTGGGTGTGATAATATATGCCTGGATAACAGCATTCTGGGAGGCTCATGCAGGAGGATTTAATTTGAGTCCTGCCTGGGCCACTTATTGAGTCTCAAAGAAAAACAAGCAAATAAAAAAGGGCTGAGGATGCAGCTCAGAGTCAAGGCGCTGGGTTCAATCCAGAAACTTTGGCGGGGGGGAGATACCAAATTATGTCAGTGGTTATATAAAGATGGAAAGATTATAGCTTGTCTTCCTCAAACCTCATATAATGCAGTTATATTATACTTATTATTCACCCCCACCAGTGATACTAGGAATTATATAGGCTAACTTTAAAGTTTTTTTTTTTTTTGGTACCAGGGATCAAACTCAAGACCTTTTACTTGCAAGGAAGGCACTGGAACCACTGGGCTAAATCCCCAGCCTTTTTTTTTTTTAAAACAACAAACGATTGAGATGTCAACCAGGTTTATGTCTTCCCCAAGAGCTTTGCTGTGTGGCTTTGTGTAAGTAGAACCTCAGCCTTACAATAGGGGGCAATTGTTCCTTAGTGCTGGAACAGTCTGTCCTGAACGTACCACAGTGTCCAAAGCTTGAGGCCTCCACTTGCTCTTTGGCTTTGACCTGACCTCCACCACGGTTGCCATGGGATCCTACAAGACCAGGAAAGCAAAGGCCATGTTAACTTGGGCATGTATCACCTCCAACCTGCTGCAGCAGCCCTTGTTCACTGTTTTAGACTGCAATGACTGCCAACAGAGACCACAGCCTCAGCCCAGCAGTGTCCCATTGCAGTGGACAGTATGGTAGACTCCCATCACTCTCTTTCCACTCAAATTAAGATTTTTTTTCTGCCTTGCGCTTGCCAGGCAGGCACTGCATCACTGAGCTACATCCCTGGCAACTCAAACCAAGATTTTGAAGGGCAATTTTATAAACCTTAAGCTGCCTGTTGCAGAGCCAATGGAATGCTGTAGTCTCTGAATCTCGAGTAGTTTTTTACCAACACTTGCTCTTCAGGATAGTTAAAAATACGAAAAATTATACAAGCTGGGATAACTAATCTTAAAACCAACCTTACATTTTAGGAGGCCAATGCCTTATCCATTAGGCAACTGGGGCTCGTACCAACCTTACATTTTAAAAAGACTGTAAATACTCAAAAAACTCAGCTTCAGTGACTTGCTAATGAGATTATGTGTAACATAATCTAAATTTCTCCTTTCCAATACACTGGGGAACAAGTCAAATCTTTCCAAGGAGTTAAAAATATGCCACCTGCCCCACATTCTGGTGAACAACAGCACCTTATTTATTTAAGGTCTTTTTATTTAACAATAAATATGCAGTGTTTCAGAGACTCCACATTGTCTAGGGTCAGAAGGCAGAGTGGCAGACAGATAGGGTGATTCCTCGGAAATGACGGACTCCACAGGAGGAACACAGATACACTGGGATCTAATCTAATGGCCAGTGCTCCATCTCTCAATAGCTCTAGGACATCTGTGAGCTTCTTTACATTCTCATCTTCCTTCTCTGAAATGGGCACGGGTATTGTTGCTGTTGTGGGATTATTAAGAAGAAATAAAATAACACTCAATAATGTGGCACACAACAGGTACTTAACAGTTTCTATTTCCTTTTCCAAAATAATAATAAACCTTCCATAGCACATCACAAACTATCAAAGTCTAGAGCTCTGTGGATCTTACTTAGACACCACTGTGTGCAGTCCCAGGTTAAACCAGGCAATGAGGCGCTGACCTATGGGAAGTGGTACCACTTGGGCTGGCGTCAGAGGGTCAGATGTGTGAAGGGGGCGTCCCAGCCCTGCCACTGAATGACCTACGGCCTGAGCTGCTGTGTGCTGCGCACACCCGTAAAACCACTTCAACCAATAGTCTGCGTCCTGCCCTCACACCACTCTCTATTCCTTTATTTTCACCCTGGCATTTATCACTATAAGAAATTAACCTGTGAAAGTCACAAGTAACTTAACTTGTGAATTAATTTATGAAAATCATTTGTGATTTTTATCTCTGTAGGGTCCCTCATGGGATCAGTGGAAGAAGGTTGGACCAGATGCCCTTTGGAGCTCTAGAAGTTCAGTGTAGATAGGTCTAACTGACCCTGACTGATTTCTGATAACAGTATATTATTGGCAGGAAGGATTTCTGCTATACACTTGTCAAAATGTCTGTACTTTTAGGGATATTTTCATGGGGATCTAGTCTTTCTTATCCCCAAAAAGTGATGCCCTGAGATGCAAACTAAAAATTAATAGACTTCAGTGGGAGAACAGGAGAGGATCACCTGTGCCAACAGAGAGGGCAGGGCTGGGAAGGTGCACAGCATGTTTTCTAGGTCATTAAGCTCTCATAGGACTCCTTACCTCCATGCATAACTGATAGAGGACAAGACAAGCTGTGTGGTTAAAGAGACGATGCCTTTTCCAATTGAAATCTACAATACCATCTTCGTGGTCATGAGTTACTATATTGGGGAAAGACAAACAGAAGGGCTGTTTCAGAGAATCCACGCGATACAACAGACAGAAAAAGAGGTATTACAGTGAAAATGAAAGGAATCTGAAATAGGAAAGAGTACTGGTTAAGAAAAACCTAAGTAGATTTTGAATATTACACTCGATCTTACCCAAAAGGCCGAGAAGCGATAATACTGTATGTTTTTTTGTGGTACCAGGGATTGAACTCAGGACCTTGCACTTGCCGGGCAGGCATAGTACCATTGAGCTACACCCCCGGCCCAAGATCCTGATTATAATGGAGCAGGCTGAAGGGGAGTGAGGAAAAGAAAAAAAATCATACATCTAATTAATGTTATTAATGCTTAGTTTTTGTTATCCTTGGGTCTGGAGGTCCCACATCAACAATCTCCAGCCTTACCTTTGATCTTGTGGAAGATTTCAGGCACAAAGGCCTGAATGGCTTTGAATCTTTCCACAACAAAGCCCAGTGTGGGGAACTGGCAGCTGCCATAGCTGACGAGCTGCTCTGTCAGCACTTCAGGAAAAACCTTCTGGAGCCGCAGGGTCTGGAACCGAGTGAAGGCAGCTCCTAGGAAGGAAGGGTGGAGGGAGGAAAAGAACAAGAAAGCGATGAATGATGAGGTCACTTTTGGTTTTATAACCCCAAACCAACATGGCAGGGCACATCTGGCTCCTCACCGATCCTCAGGTCCAGCTCCTGCCTCACATCCACAGCATCACTCACTCTCTGATCTGGCTTGGTCAGGTTTTCACAGGCTGTCCTGACAGCACAGGGGGTGATCTCAGAGAATCGGGCTCTTAACACCTGCAGACTGGGCTTCACTGCAGACACAAAGGGTCACTGAGGTCAAAGTCAATCACAATGAACTCATCACAAAGCCTCAACTGTTAGTTTAGAATAATGGTGTGGTGTACAATGTCAGAAACAGAAACATCACTCTAACCTCTAACCTGAGTATTGTCCAAAACAACAGAGTCAATTTTAGTTATTAACTCAAATTCTCTAGATGAGTCTTTTTTTAAATTTTGGTGCTGGTGATCGAACTGGGCCTTGGGCTTGCAAGGCAGGTGGTGGAACCACTGAGCTAAATCCCCGGCCCCTAGGTGAGCCTTTTAATCTTACTTGTTCTCAGGCCTTTAGGAAAAAGAAAAATGCTGCCAATTAAAAGGTCTGGTGGGGAATTTCATGTCCCTTCCGGAAAGAATACAGGACATATACACTGTCCTTGAAAGTTAATACATTTTAATTCCTAGGAGTCATTACAGTTTCTCAAAACAAAACCACTCCAGAAAACCAGCAACCCTACCCTATGAGCCAGAAAACGGCCTGTTCCCCACTCCTCTACGTCACCAGGAAGTACTACTCTCTCAGAGCCACTCAAATTTAAGCCAACATTCATTCATTCTTTTATTCATTTATTGAGGTACTGCGGATAAAACCCAGGGGCTTGTATATGGTATGCAAGTGCTCTTCTGTAACTGACACACCCTAGTCCAGCAATTATTTATTAACAGGCACTATATAAAGAATATGGGTGATTGAAAAAAACAGAATACTTTAGAATTTCTTTGCACTTATGGGATATATATTCTCTTGCATGTTATTTGTGTGTGTGTTTTCTGTTCTTTTTTTTTTTTTGGTACTGGGGATCAAACTCAGGACCTTGTGCTTGCCAGGCAGGCATAGCGCCACTGAGCTAAATCCCCAGCCCTTTTGTATATAATTTAAAAAATATATACTTAAAAATACATTGCGGACTCATTTAACCCTCCTGGTAGTCCTAGGAAGCATGTCAGGTTGGCCCGACACTTGATGAAGACGAGGCTGTGAAGAGGAACTGCGCCACAGCCCACTGTACACATATGCAACAGACTGCTCTAACTGTAGGTTCCCGAAGAGAAGTAGAGTAATGGCAGCACTCACCTGCCTTGCACACATGGATAATCTCAAACCCGATGTTTTCACCTTCTCTATCACAGTCAGTCCAGATCACCAGGGCCTGGCACTGCCGTGTCTCTCGTTCCAGAGTTTTCTGAAGTTAATGGAGGGGAGAATGCTGACAGTAGAGTCCACAGCAATTTTCGACACTTTTACACTAAAGAGATTTGACCGAGGACTACTGCTGTTCCTGGAGTGTTTGAACTTTGTGAGGGAAAAGAGGAATATCACTCACACCAGCACCAGTGATGGTGTGCTCACTAGTACAATCTCCCAGTTCTCTAAGTGTGCTTTGAGAAGGCTGGGGGTTCAATACAACATGAAGAAACTGTAGTTTACCTCTAACACACACTTCTACCTCCAGTAGTTCTGATTATTTGCTGGTTAAAAAATAACAGAACAAAAACAAAAAGCAGAAAACAACTTCCGTGTGTTTCATCTCAAGAAGGGTTCCCAGTTAGCAGTGAACTAGCTACAGGTGTACTGAACTGACAATTTACTGTCAAACCACATATACTTCATAGCCTCTCCATCTATATAGGGATAGGACAGGTGTTAGAACTAATAATTTTAACAATACTTATTCCTTATTCCTAGTATTTATTTAAGGTAGTTTTTTTTTGGGGGGGGGTACCAGGGATTGAACTCAGGCCCTTGCGCTTGCAAGGCAGGTGCCAGAACCACTGAGCTAAATCCCCAGCCCCTCCTAGTATTTATTTAAATAACAGCTATTTCTAAAAATGGCTTGCTATAGTCTCTTGGGTACTTAGCTTTAAAAGCCTCATTTACACATGGATGTGGATAACAACTTTTTTGTGTGTGTAAGGTACTGGTGACTGAACTTAAGACCTTACACTTGCCAGGCAGCCACGGCACCACTGAGCTACATCCCCACTCCATGGATCTTTTTAAATTATGGCACAATACTGAGTTTGGTGGAAAACCTTCTGTATAATTCCAATAGGTTAAAAATACAGAAATCACTCCATTCAACTATATGTGGTTGTTTCAACTTCAATGTCACATGTTTTCCAAAAGATCCTACCTTGATGTCTATAAAATTCTCTGGACAGTACTTTTCGATTTGTGCTTCAAAGAGGACAAGGGGATTGCAGCTATGCCTAGAAAATAAACAAAAGCACAAAGATTCTCATGTCAGCATGATGGGGAATCCTGCATTCTAACAAGAAAGAATGCATTGCTGTAGTGAGCTCATAGGTAGACCGCTAAGAGAAAATGGCTCAGGTGGGGTGGTGCAAACCTATAACGCAGCCACCTGGAAAGCTGAGGTGGGAGACTGTTAGAGCCCAGGACTTTAAGAGCAGCCTGAAAAGCAGAGCAGGACAGTCTCAAAAGGGGATGAGGAGGGCCAGGGATTTAGCACAGTGGCAACACGCCTGCCTTGCAAGTGCAAGGTCCTGAGTTCAATCCTTGATAACCAAAAAAAAAAAAAAAAAAAAGAGAGAGAGAGAGAGAGTGAGGAGAGGTAGCTCAGAGGCGCTGTGCCTGCCTGGAAAGTACAAATTCAATCCCCAGTAACACACACACACACACACACACACACACACACACACACACACAAGTGGGGTGATGAGGAAGGAAAAGAGGATGGGGAAGAGAAAAGGGAGAGGAAGGGAAAAGGAAGGAATGGGAAAGAAAGGGAAAGGAAAAGAGAAAAGCTAATGGTCCATGATCCCCTACACAGCACAATGTCCTCTCCCCAGTGAAGATTAACAGGAGTTGCTAAGGTAACATTTGGAATCCTTTTATGCACATTTGCAACAGAACAAATGCAATCCAATAGCTGTGTGAAAGGAGTCTATTTTGTTTGTTTGTTTGTTTTCTGAGATAGGTTCTCACTATGTAGTTGAGATGACCTGGAATTCACTATGTAGCCCAGGCTGGTCTCAAACTCATAGTGATCCTCCTGCCTCAGCCTCTGGAGTGCTGGGATTACAGGCGTGTGCCACCACACATGGCCAAAAGGGGTCTATTTTGGGGGAACATCTAAAAGTGGCCATTTATTCTAAAGATATGATAAAAATTTACAATAAATCAGACAACCCTTGGTTATCTTGGTACTCTAAGTTACATGGTAACTTCAATATGCTTCAAGATTCCCATATTTGGGGCCGGGGATTTAGCTCAGCGGCACAGCGCCTACCTGGCAAGTATGAAGTCCTGAGTTTGATCCCTGGTACCAAAAAACATATATATTCCTATATTTGTCACAACTTACTGTAATCATCAGAGTCCTTCCCCTAGGAATTGTACTGACCATTTTCGAAACTGCATCTGGAAATCATGAGCCAGCAAGTGTCCAGAAACTGAAGTCATTATCATGGTAACATTCTAAATGATAACAAAATACAAGTTAGTCTTTTTGTAGTTATATTTTGCCAAATCATTCAAGTGAAAAGGAGGAACTTCTATTAAAGAACATAAAACCCCCAAAATAGTTGCTTGGGAAGAAATATACATATAAGTCATCAAAGCCAAAAGCCATAGGCAATCCCATCACCACACCAATTCTCCTACTATGATGCTGCCTTTTGTATCATCTAAAATTTCCTCAGGGCTCAGGGTGCAGCTTGATGGTACAGTGCCTGCCAAGCATGGATGAGGCCCTGAGTTCCATCCCCAGCAACACACACACACACACGCAAACGGAGAGAGAGAAAAAGAGAGAGATGGAGGGAGACCACACTTCCTTACAGGTCATAAAAGTATCATCTGTAACTAAGGACCTTTATTTTAAGACACTGACATTTCATATATGATAAGGGTGACCAATTGTTCTTGATTAACTCTAAGGCACAAAGAATTTAGGGTAGATTTATAATAAACAGCTATTCTCTTCAGTATAGTTGAAGCCCCAAGGAATGTACAACAAAACGGTACATGTACATGGATCTGAAAGCATACTTCAGCTTTATGTTGAAAATATTTTATTACCTACCTGGCCATACAGATAATAATCAAATTCATAGATCTTGTTGAATTTAGAAAGTCCTTCTCTCTATAAAACAAAATAAAAATACAAAAATAAAGTAAATAAAAATACAAATACATTAAAATAACAATTGACTTTTGAGTATAAAGATCAAACAAAATCTGGGTAAGAGTATCGCCTATGGACAAAACAGTATTTCCTATATATAAAAAATGAGGGCCAGGGATTTAACTCAGTGGTGCTAAGATTTTAACCCTAACCCTACCTCACAAGCACAAGGACCTGAGTTTGAACTCCGGTACCAGAAGGAAAAAAAAACCAAAAAACAACAACAACAAAAAAAACGCCAGGGGTGGTGGTGCATGCCTGTAATCCCAGCACTCAGGAGGCTGAGGCAGGAAGATCACTGTGAGTTCGAGACCAGCCTGGGCTACCTAGTGAGGTCCAGGTCAGTTTCAACTACATAGTGAGACAATGTCTCAAAAACAAACAAACAAAAAATGAGCTAAATTACTAAGACCAAATAGTTACTAGGTAGCCCCTCAAAACACAGTTACCAAGTATATACTTGATAGAGTTCATGGAGTTTTTATGTTGGAAGGTAAACTTGAGATCAGCTAATATTTAACTTCTTTGTATAGATGATAATGAAATTGTCCAAGATCACATGACAAATTCATGGCACTAAATGCCCTTATTAGGACATAAGTTCTTTTAAAAAAAATTTTAATTGCACTTCGGAAACCTTTTATTGAAGACAATGCAAAAAATGGGCTAAAAATATTAGAGTGAAGGGAGGCTGAGGAAATCAATATAAAAAGTAGGCAGCTCAATGATGAACTAAAGACATTTCTTGATACTTAAGGCAATTTAAAAAGTGAAGTCTTACCAAAACAGCATTTATATAGCACTGAAAAAAGTACTGAAATAATTTGGATTAAAAGAGCTAAGTTATCTATGTAAAATCTGTACAGTGGGGACCAGTTTTCAGCAGGTGAGTCTATTTACAAGTAAGACCCTCTACTCTTGTAACATGGTAGGACATAAATTCTTGATGATTTGTTTCTTTCTCCCCCATCTCTATTAGTTCAAAGTAATACAACTATACCAATAAACTGGCCTGAATGACATAAGGAGACCCTGTCTCAAAAAAATTGAGTCTCAATTTATTCCTGAATAAAATTATCTCTGTGGTTTCTTCTGGCTTTGAAATCCAATGACATTGTAAGCCCAGTCAGAACTGAATCCAGTCAACAAAGCACTTCTTTAGCTGCAACTACAAATGAACAAGACCTGAGGAGGTCATACCTTCCTACAACTAGGCACACAAAGCAGCTGTGCCTGGGAATTTCAGACCAGCACTGAAGGCAAGACAGAAGAAAGGCTCCCTGAGGACTGGAAAACATTCAAGGGTCTAGAAGAGCTGGTATCAGAAAATTTTCACTTAGCCTCAAAAAGACAATTTTCTGTGTGGAACACCGGCCACTCTTTAGAGGTAAAATGGCTCACCCTCCTTTCTTCTTTTCTTTTCCCTTTTGTCCCTTTCCCTTTCCTCTTTCTTTTCTTTCTCTTTCCTAGGAACTGAACCCAGGACAGCCTTAAGCATGCTAGGCGAGAGTTCTACCACTGAACTATCTCACCCCAGGCTCATAATGGTTGTACAGAGGGAAATTATTTCAGTATCTGATAAGTAAGAATTCAGTTGGTCTAATGTCACAAAGAAAAGAATCTCCTCCTCTACAAATTCCAACTGCTAGTTAAGGGCCTTTAGTAACAAAGAATAGAAAAATCAGGCCAGGTGTGGTGGCACATGGCTGTCATTCCAGTCCTTGGGAGGCTGGGGTTTTATGAGTTTGAGGCCAGACTGGGCTACACAGTGAGTTCAAGTTCAGCCTGAGACGCTGTCTCAAAAAAAAACAAAAAAATAAATAAATAAAAAAAATTTTTTTAATGGTTTTTGACTTCTTTTTAAGAAAACCCTGACAGAGGTGCTATAGCTGCAACAAGACTGTATCCTGCTAACTCAACTACTTTCCCATCCAGGCTCAAATGGCCACAGTCCCATGTTATATATTGGGGACATATTGTGGGAACCACTAGTCTAATCCTCTCCAGGTAGATGGCCTATGACACCAGCAGCAGGGCTCACCCAAGATATCCTGTTTTACCAATAGACATTTTAAACTTGACTCTGTGTAGTTCCCATTTAGTGAGGAGTGCACACATTTATATTCAATTCCATTCCTTGGGAGAGGTGCCCAAGGAAATGGGATGCTCTCAATTACAGCAGAGTTCTGGAGCCTAGACAAAGAAAACACCTGATGAATATATCAAGAGTGGAGATTTTACAAATATGTATATATATATCTATCTATATATAGATAGATAGATAGATATATATCTATATATATCTATCTATATATAGATATATAGATAGATATATATATATCTATATATCTATTTCTCAGCCAATAGTCTCTTCTCTAAATTCTCAAATAAGAGCTGATCGTATTATTGCTACTGAATCTACCTCAGAATTCTCTTTAAGATTTCTCCTTCTGACTACACATAGAAAAAATGCTCAAGGATCTCTAAGTTAAGGACCATGGGTGGCAATGGAATGGGAGTGGGGTCAGTTTTTGTTGTTGTTGTCATCTTTGGTACCAGGGATCAAACTTAGGACCTTGAGGCAGGCACAGTGCCACTGAGCTAAATCCCCAGCCTTGGGGTCAGTTTGATATATCTATATTCTTTGAACTATTTGGAATAAATACTAACTGTTGAAAAGAGGGAAAAAAAATTCTGTCTTGTTAATCTTGTGGTGAATTTCTCATTTTCTAATGTTGGATGTTTAAAAAACTATCAAAAGGAAGAATGTTTTATGATTCCATTACTAGAAACTTGTTATCCAATTTTTGTTGTAATACTACAATGACCATCATTTTATTCTGCTAACTCCTCTATTAGATACTTAAAGGCAGAGATGTGTCATTCATTGCACATGGACATGTGATTTTCACAGAGTAGGTTCTGTCTGAGAGATAAATACAGGAGTAGGACCTGGCCACTGTACTCAGGGAGATGATATACTTGAGGACAGAAGGACAAACAGCTAAATGACTACACGTGATAACCTGTCATGAAGAGATGAAACAGCATCTGGAAACGGAAGGGAATGTGTGGGGGGTACCTTGGAACAACTTCAAAGAAAAGGTTACATTTAAGTTGCATTTTATTTTTTCTTTTAAAACAGTGGCCTGGGAGGAAAAGGAAAACATCATTCTAGGAAGAAGTATGGAAATTTGCAAGTGTGAACTTTTATCTTTTAAACTCTGATTGCTTTTATCATTTTCTTTCTCTTATCCCTGTTTTTACCCAAACCTGCCTAAAGTTCAAGATCCTGACCTCTCATAAGAACTCCAATAGTTCCAGCCCTGTCTCCAGCTTTTCACTCTTCATATCTTCTGCTTCCAGAGTGACTTTATAAAATACAAAGAATGCCTTTATCTCCCACTTAAAAATCTGTATGGCTTATTTCAACCAATGTAGAAAAAACATATAACCAAAATTCAGCACACTTTCCTGATTAAAAAAACAAAAAACAAACAGGGCTGGGGATTTAGCTCAGTGGTTCTGCTGCCTGCCTCACAAGCACAAGGGCCCGAGTTCAATCCCCAGTACCAAACCAAACCAAACAAACAAACAAAAAAAAACCCTCAACAAATTAAGAATAGAAAGGAATGTCAACAGAATAAAGAAAGTTTACTAAAAGCCCACAGCTACCATCATGAAAAGCAGAACATTAGGCAGAAAGTATAAATAAAACAGCTGGGGATGGTGGTACATACCTGTAATCTCAGCACTCAGGAGGCTAAGGCAAGAGGATCACTGTGGGTTTGAGGCCAGCCTAAACTACACAGCAAAACCAAACCAAACCAAACAACAATAAAAGACCAAAAAAGAAAAAAATACTAGGATGGCTATTCTTGCCTCTGCTATTTAGCACCACACCAAAAATACCAGTCAGAGCTGGGCATGGTGGTGCATGCCTGTGATTCCAGTACTCAGAAGGCTGAGGCAGGAGGATCTTTGCAAGTTCAAGGCCAGCCTGCGCTACATAGTGAGTTCAGGGCCAGCCTGAACTACAAAGGAGACCCTACCTCAAAAAACAAACAAAATACCAGTCAGAATATTTAGGCAAGAAAAATAAAAGACATTCCACCTAAATTGTAAAGAAGTAAAGCAATGAAGTACTAATACACACAACAGGGGCAGATTTCAGAAACATTATGCTAGGGCTGGAGATTTAGCTCAGCAGTTCGGTGGCCTGCCTTGTAAGCGCAAGCACCAGAGTTCAATCCCCCATATCCCCCCCAAAAAAACGCCCCCAAAAAACATTATGCTAAGTGAAAGAAGCTTGACACAAAAAGGTAATGTAGTATACTATTCCATTTACAGGAAATGTCCAGAATAGGCAAATCAATGGGGACAGAGAGCAGAACAGTAAAGAAGGTATACGGGAGCATGGTTGTTTAATAAATACGGGGGTCTCCTTTTGGGGTGATAAAAAACCTTTTAGAACTAGACAGTGGTGATAGCTGTCCAACATTATGAATGTATAAATTGTACACTTTAACAACAGTTAAAATGGTTAAATTTTATATGTGTTCTATCACATTCTACCACTCACATACAACGTTTCCCATGATCTGCATGCAATTACTTCTCTTATTTAACTAATTCTTCCACTCCTCCACATCAAGCTCCTAGCCTCATCCTGGCTTTGAACAAGCCACATAGTTTCAGCCATTGGGTTATTTCTCACACATGTGCACTGTGTGATAAGATTTCCAGACTCAACTAATTCACCCAAGCGATATTTACTGGTCTCCCGTATTTCAGACACTGTATTACACATTAGGATATAGGAACTGATTTATACAATCTTTACTCTTTGGAGTTTAAGTCCATGGAAGGGCGACAAGAAAAATCAATTAAATAATTGCACACTGTAGCAATGAACTTGAAAGATGCAATAATAGCATATAACTAAGGGTCCCTTACCTTGTGGTGCTAGAGGCAGGAATGTAAGGGGAAGGTTCCTTGAAAAAGAGATATTCAAGCAGAATCCCAAAGGATAAAGAAATTAGACCAGAGGGGCCATTTTCAAGAGTCTCAGAGCCCCAGAAGTAGGCAAACCTTGGGGCTGGTCATGACATTCAGCACTGGAAAAAGGTGAAGCTTTCAGCCAGCACCCACTCAACCTTGGTCACCTTTCCTTAGTGCTGGAAAGAGGTGTAAGGACCCTGGAATTTGTAAACAAAAAGAAACAGGGAACATTGGCCTTAAGCTCCTAGAAATGTTTTCCAGAAAACCATTTCAGGATCCACCTTTGTTATTTGGGAGATTTTCCTGAACAAAGGTTCCCCTGCCCTTGCCTCCTTTAAGAAGTCGTTTTATCTTCGTTTTCCTTTGTGAGCTCAGTTTACCTAGAAAACATTCCTATACTTTAATTGTGGCTCTTGGAATCAATCTATAGGAACAGGAACAGGGTTGACTTTACCTCTAACTCCCAAACCTTGGTGTTGCCTCATTATGGTAGGATTGGGGACTGGTAAATTAGAACAGCTGAATGCAGAGGACGTGGCAGAAGACAGGGAGGGGCTTGGATAGGTGGGGATTATTAGGTCTAGTAGGGTTTGAGTTTCAAGTTAAAGGAGTCTGGTTAGGAGTTTCCAAATGAACTGAAATTCAGACCAACAGAATAGACAGTGTTCTCAGGTGGATTAGACAAGTGTTTTGTTTTTGGGTTTTTTTCCTCACGGTATCAGGGATCGAACTCAGGACGACTTTGCACTTTCAAAGCAGGCGCGGTGCCACTGAGCTAAATCCCAGCACTGGATTTGGCAAGTTTGAGAACGCTGAATGATTCGCGGTACCAAAACAAAACAACAAAAACGCTGATAAGGGCAAAAAGTTTGAGTTTTCTAGAAAATGCGTGAAAGAGCCGAACTACATTTTTTAATTCCACCAGTCGAGAGCGTGAGGCAGAGCACTGCAGTGGTCCACGCGAGAAGTAGGGAGTTCTCCGAGGTGAAGAAATCACCTCTTTGTCGATTTCTGGCGCCCACCACGCAGGCCCGCTCAGTGGACTTCCCTCAGGGAGCGCATTTTCTTACCCGTCTCATACGACCGTTGGACAGCAGATCAGCGATTCCCTTGGCTGCGTCGTTTTTTTCGGCCACACAGAGGACTTTCCGCACGCCTCGGAAGGCCCCTTCCATGGCGGCGAGGGTCAGGGCACGACCTCCGGCCCGTCGAAGCCACCCGAGCGGGTAATGGACGACCGAAAAGATCATCTTTAGGTCCCGCGCCCGCAGCTGCTCTCCGGGTGCCTGCGCATGTTGGGGAAGCCAGAGACGAGGCTCGCCTGGCGCTCACTCAAGGAATTACAAACTCTGGGAGGCGCCTGCCTTTCAGTGGAATCCCACCAGGGTGCTGCAGTTATTGCTCTTTCTCCCGGCCGCCTGGAACCCAAAGCCCGGATGTCTTTTTGCTTCCTCCCGCCTTCTCTAGCCACTTCCTTCAAGCGCGCGCTCCACAGCGACCCGAAACTACGACTCCCAGACTGCCTAGCGCCCCAGAACTCTCATCCAAGCACTTTTCTTCCCCTCCTTCTGGCCCCACTTTGCTTCCTTTCGGTATGCTGCTTGGCAAGTTGGATTGGTACTTGGGAGGAGCCGCTGGACAGTACCGTCCAAAGTACTCTACCTTTACCGCTCCTGCTCGGAAGTCTGCGCAGACACTTCCGGGTCACGCGACATTGTTGACCGCGAGTCATGTGATGGTAAGATGGCGGCGCCGCGGTAGCCGTCCCCGGATTGTGGCGTCCAAGGAGCCGCGACGGTTTCTGCCCTCGGGCCGTGGGGGTGGCAAAGGTTAGCTAACCCCTGCGGCCACGTTAGGCACTTGGTCAGGATTGGGGCTGTTGCAGTATCGGTGGATTTCGTGAGTGCTAGTGATCTTATTGCAGGTGCCTTGCGCCGGCGGTGCTTGCCGGAGGAAGAGGAGAGCGACCATCATCCGCTGTCTTCTGGGTCTGCAGCTTTGCAATTCACGGAGCCTCCGAGGACTCTGGAGGAGCTGTACTTCTGAGGGAGCTGCGAAAGTTCGAGTGCGTAGTGTGAGAGGCAGCCTAGGCTTCCTGGGGCGGCAGAGAAGGCCTTCAAAGACTCTGCTTCCTCCTTCGGAGGCCTGGCTTTGCCGCACTGATTGACCCCGTGTTCTTTACCACTTCCTCTCAATGTTCTCGTCATATATCAGGAAATATGATCAGCGCCCCTGATGTGGTAGCCTTCACCAAAGAGGATGAGTATGAGGAAGAGCCTTACAATGAACCATCCCTGCCTGAGGAGTACTCCGTGCCACTCTTCCCTTTCACCAACCAGGGAACTAACCCGTGGTCTAAGCTGTCTGGAGCCAAGTTCTCAAGGGACTTCATCCTTATTTCTGAGTTCTCTGAGCAGGTGGGACCTCAACCCTTGCTGACCATACCCAATGACACCAAAGTTTTTGGCACTTTTGATCTCAATTACTTCTCTCTGCGGATCATGTCTGTGGATTACCAGGCTTCCTTTGTGGGCCACCCTCCTGGTTCTGCGTACCCTAAGCTGAACTTTGTGGAGGACTCCAAAGTAGTTCTGGGAGACTCCAAGGAAGGAGCCTTTGCATATGTGCATCACCTCACCCTGTATGACCTAGAGGCCCGAGGTTTTGTGAGGCCCTTCTGCATGGCTTATATCTCAGCAGACCAGCATAAAATCATGCAGCAGTTCCAGGAGTTGTCAGGTGAATTTTCCAAAGCCTCTGAGTGTTTGAAATCGGGCAATAGAAAGGCATTTGCTGGGGAACTTGAAAAAAAGCTGAAAGACTTGGATTACACCAGGACAGTCCTGCATACAGAAACAGAGATCCAGAAGAAAGCCAATGACAAAGGTTTTTACTCATCTCAGGCAATTGAGAAGGCTAATGAACTGGCCAGTGTGGAGAAATCTATCATTGAACATCAAGACCTGCTGAAGCAGATCCGCTCATACCCTCATAGGAAGGTAAAGGGGTCTGATTTGTGTCCTGGTGAGATGGAGTACACCCAGGATCAGGCTGACCATGCATCCACTACCTCTAACCCAGATGAGTCTGCTGACTCAGACATTTACACCTGCAGACCAGCATATACTCCAAAACTCATCAAAGCAAAGTCCACCAAGTGTTTTGACAAGAAGTTGAAGACCTTGGAGGAGCTCTGTGATACTGAGTATTTCACCCAGACCCTGGCCCAGCTCAGCCACATTGAGCACATGTTCAGAGGAGACCTGTGCTACCTCCTAACTAGTCAAATTGACCGAGCACTACTAAAACAACAACACATAACAAACTTCCTCTTTGAAGACTTTGTGGAGGTTGAAGACAGGATGGTGGAGAAACAAGAGAGTGTACCCTCTCAGCCCAGTCAAGACAGGTTACCTTCCAGGTCTCTGGAAGAATGTCCGATTCCTAAAGTGTTAATCAGTGTTGGTTCCTACAAGTCCAGTGTGGAGTCTGTGTTGATCAAGATGGATCAGGAACTTGGAGATGAGCAGTACAAGGAAGTAGAGGTGACAGAGTCAAGTAGTTTTGAGCCCCAGGAAAACCTGGACTACCTGGATATGGACATGAAAGGGAGCATCAGCAGTGGTGAAAGCATTGAAATTCTGGGCACAGAGAAGTCCACTACTGTACTGTCAAAGTCCGACAGCCAGGCTAGCCTCACAGTGCCATTGAGCCCCCAGGTTGTCCGAAGCAAAGCAGTCAGCCACAGGACCATCAGTGAGGACAGTATTGAAGTCCTGAGCACCTGTCCTTCTGAGACCCTCATCCCTGATGACTTTAAGGCCAGCTACCCAAGTGCCATTAATGAGGAAGAATCCTATGCAGATAATGAGGGGGCCATACACTTCCAAGTAAGCCTCAGTCCACTGGAGCTGGGTGAAGCCCATGAGGTTGGCTTGGAAAACACCCCACCCCAGAAAGACTCCTCCTGCTGTATTGGGAAGGACAGCAGTGGTCAGCTGATGCTCCTCCCTACTCCTGCCCACACTTTCTCTGATGAGGACAGCGTGGTGAGCATTCCCCCACAGCGCTACAAGCAGAAGGACCAGGGCTTCCATGTGGACTTTGCAGTGGAAAACACCAATCCTTCCCAAGACAACAGTTGTGAAGCATTCCCAGCTTATGAGTTGGACCCAAGGCATCTGCTGGCTAGCCGGGATGTCAGTAAGACTAGCCTGGATAACTACTCGGACTCCACCAGCTATGTGAGCAGTGTGGCCTCCACCAGCTCAGACAGGACCCCCTCCTCTGCTCACCCTGTCAGCCTGTCTTCTGAGAGGCATAAAAAGAGGGCTGGCCAGAATGCCTTAAAATTCATCCGCCAGTACCCCTTTGCCCACCCGGCCATCTACTCCCTGCTCAGTGGGAGGACACTTGTAGTTCTAGGAGAAGATGAGACTATAGTCAGGAAGCTTGTGACAGCACTGTCCATCTTTGTTCCCAACTATGGCCGCTATGCCAAGCCTGTGAAGCACTGGGTCTCTTCCCCTTTGCACATTATGGATTTTCAGAAGTGGAAGCTTATTGGCCTGCAGAGGTAACTGGTTCAGGTGGTGGGGAGGGATCCTGCCCAATTAGAGATGAGGGAAGTTGGTGTGCAGGACCCAGAATTGGTAGACCCAGTTTCTAGACAGGGCCCAACACCAACTATTATTTTTGACAGATCATTTTCCTCTATGGCCTTGGTTTTATTGTCATGTAGAGGGAAGAATCACAGTTCCTAAGTAGTTGCCAATGCCACTGTGTTCCTCTGTTGTGTCAGAATAATTTGGGAGAATTTTTAAAATCATAGATTTATGGGCTCCCTTCCTTAGATTGTGATTCAGTTGGTTTGGGGTAAGACAGACTTCGTTTGATGTATAGCAAAGTTGCAGATCTGAGATCCTTTTTTTTTTCTTTTGGTACCAGGGATCAAACTTGGGACCTTGCGCTTGTGGCGGCATCACTGAGCTAAATCCCCAGCCTCAGGTCCTTTCTGACTCTCAGATTCACACTAATGACTGTGGCCATCATTGGTGGCACAGGAGGGCTCCAGTGGCTTTCACTCAGCCCTTCTGTTTGCTCTTGAAGCCTGGTGTTTTTTTGTTTTTGTTTTTGCGATTAAAACCCAAGGCCATATGTCCAAGACCTCTGCTTGCCAGACAAGCGTTGCACCTCTGAGCTACATCCCCAGCCTTAAAAAGGAAACGTGAGAGCCACTTCTCTGAATACTACCTATTTCATTCCACTGATACTCCTGCTTTAATAGATTCCTTTATCTTTCTAGCTGAGCCTCCCCCCAGCCATTGTCTGTCCTGTGTTTAGTTTCCTCATTTTGTGACCTGTTGTTTTCCTTTTCTTCATTAGCTTTGCTCATTTGTAAACTAAAAGTGCTCAGCTAGGTGATCATCACAGTCCCTTCTGAGGAGGGAGCAGTCTATACTTCCCACAGAAGGGGCAAAAGGAATTTCTTTCACACTGCAACAGCAACCATTTCCTTTTACATGGTGCCTAATTATCAGTGAGGACACCACCTCCTGAATCTTCATGTGTTTATCCCTCATGCGGAAGTTAAGTAGTGGGACCTCACTGTGACTGTTGTTGCAGGAGAGTTACTGGGATAGTATGAAAGTTCAGCAAATGCTGCTTCACATTATGATTGAGTCACTTGTGGAAAGCCTACTCTAGGCTATGCTTGAACAAGGCTACTGTTCTGGATAGTCCAGGAGAGGAGGGAGACAGGTGGCCAGAGTGTTACATTCACGGAGACAAGAGTTTTAGTATGGGATGCTTCCAGTGTCTTAAGACAAAGGGAGCAACTTTGCAGCACCCTGGAAGTGAGGAGTGTCTTTGCTTGAGTATACAGGAGGGCGGGGTCACCAGTCACTGAGTCAGGAAGTCAGTGAAGGGTCACAGTCTTGAGAGAGTACCCTGGAGACCCCAGGAGGAGCTGTTCTCTGGCTTCTCTGTGAGGCCAGTTGGTCCCTGCTTCTTGGTCTGTCCCCAGAAGGGAAGGCTATCTCAGATTGGTTTTTGCTGCTGTCACTTGTGGAAGGGTAGGTCAGTATCCCTGACACACATATATTTCAGTTCTCCAACTCCCCTCAGCCCAATCTTTGGCTTTGTAAAAGGTAGAGAATCCAAAATGCACAAAGTAGGGCCAGGGATTTAGCTCAGTGGCACTGCACCTGCCTCGCAAGCCCAAGTCCCGAGTTAGATTCCCAGTGCCAAAAAACAAACAAACAAAAAAACAAATTAAAAAAAGTAAAAATGCACAAAGTAGGGGCAGCTCACCAATCTGTCAAAATAGGAAACATTGCCAGAGGTGTCCCAGAATTTCCCCATGTAGCATGTGCCAGAATGGTGAAAGAGGCTCAGGTAGTGGTTTGGAAGGCTTTGTCAAGGGACACTGAAGACTAGGCTAGGCTAAGTAGGAAAGGTTATGATCCACAAATGATGTTGTGAGGGTGCTTATCATCAATGTTTGTCTATGAAGGGGAAGAGGAGGCCTGAGGAGGTACCTATTCTGGGGCTGCCCTGTCCTGGCTTATGCACCATGGACACCTGGGCAGGTCATGCCTCCATTCTAACGGAATGAGAGAGGTTGATCTGGTTACTTGCCAGATATTTATGAGGGCAGCTAAGTGCTGGACACTGCCTAGAGGGAGCCAGTGTGGCACACTCAGGCCCCTTCTGTCACCATGCTGCCAGCTAGACCTCTCAGTCTGTTTTCCAATGCTGCAGACAGAGCTGACAAGACCTAGTTCAAGGTAGCAGATGTCACAGGGTCCATGGGCTCTGACTGGTGTTCAGTGCGTGAAAATGCTCCTCTATCACACTAGTGGACTATGAAGGAGGCAGGTGGGATAGCAGGGCTCCAGGTGGTTCTGGCTAGCCAGACCTCAGGGAACATCCCTCTGGGAAAGCCAGAGGCTTTAGGAAGTGATAGCTGAGGCCAATGCACACAGATCCTCAAGTAGGAACTTTGCTCACAAAACTGCCCTCACATCTGAGTGGGGACAAATGTTGGGTATCAGGAACCCAGTGTCCTGTACTGGTTTCAGCATATAGTCAGGGATGGGGATGGGAGGCTGTGTCCAGAGAACAGGCCACAGAGGGTTCCAGAGTAATGTAGAAATGGATCAGTTACAGCTCATCTAGAGATGCCCTTTGGGGGATGATGAGTGGCCATGATGGTAGAACCTCAGGAGGTGAACACTGTCATGGGCTGTGATAGTTACAGAAGAAACAGTGGGATCTGGGTCAGGCTCTGGTGCTGTTGTCACTTCTCTACAGGTCTGGACCTACTCCCTCCTTTCTTATGAATTCCCCAAATCAAGTTGAGCCCCTCTGTGTAGGGAATGGGGGTTGGGCCCTCATGGTGCCCACCTTCTGGAGGCATAGGAAGGACATTTAGAATATGTGTCAGGCTCTAGTGCAGCTCCCGGCCCCTAGAAGCGCTCAGAGACATTGACATACAGCAAGTCTCCAGGCAGGCAGGACTGCATTGACACAGGGAGGCACACTGAGGCCCAGCTTTAAAAATCACAAGGAGTAGGAGAGGTGCCTTTTGTGTTCATGACCTTGTCCAAGAGATGTTGAACTATACCAGGACTTAGGTTAATTTGGACTCCTGAGGTCCTTTGATTTCACTTAGCATGAGCTCAGGTGATGAACCGTTTTTGGACTGTCCCCTCAAATCACCAGCCTCACTGGCCTTAGATTCTTCTTGCCTACATAGGTCCTCTGCCTGAAAATCCAACCCTTGTCAGCTGGTTTAGTGTTGGTGGGAAGAAGAGATGAACTCATAGTTGTACTGGCCTGCTATCATTTTATATAAATGCCAAGGTGAACTTGCATGCCTGAGTAAGCAGAAGGCATAAGTCCTAGACTGGGATAAACAGAACTCAGTTGTGGGAGAAAGTGTTAGAGGGGATCAGAGGCCTGGGTTGAGGCCTGGCTGGGTGACTATGGACAAGCCACAGCCCTGCTGGGGCCTCTGTCCCGTGGGTCAGGGTTGTTCCTCCTTACTTTGGGCTGGCCATAGTGTCTTAAGCATGTGAGGTGGGAGATGCTTCCTGCAGCAGAGGCTAGAGGTCTGGGCTGACTATGTGTCATATGGCCTCCTGAGATTTGTGTGAAACAAATGGAAGAAGAGTTTCTTCCAAAAGAAGTTCTGGGTGGAGGTGGGCTAGACATGTCAAGCTTGGAGAGTTTGGCTGTGGGCTGCCATCTGCCCAGGGTAGGCAAGGGTGCCTAGGGAGCAAAAAAAGCATGGAGAAGCCAGTGCAAAGTCCAGAGGCCTCTATGGGTGGGTACCATTGAGGCACTGAAAGCTCTAGTAGTGCACGTTAGGGTGGCTGGCTTACAGATCTGCACTTGTTCTCATGGACTTTCTGAGCTATGGCTGCCTGCAGGCCGATTACCCACTAGCCTGTGGAGTGTGCTGTCTAGGTTTAGGACACAGGGCTGAGTGGGTCTCACCATCCAATTTGCGACTTTGCCTTGTTGTAATCTTCATGCAGTCCCCAGAGCCCATCCTCCCTCCAATGCCAACTGCCAGGTCTCCCAACCGTGGGTCTCTCCTGTAGAGACTGAGACCATCTCTCTCTTCACCTCACTGGGCTTAGGTGCAGGCCTTCTCCCAGTCAGTCCCAGCTCATGCAGGACAAAATTCCAGGTCATTCTTCATTACAGACTTGGTTCCCAGACCATGCCTAGTATGTGGTAGATATGCAATGATTGTTAACTATGAGACCAGTGGGTATATAGGATGGAGGTGCTCCTTGTTCCATGGGGAGATGAGTAAACAGCAGTCACCAGACTGGTTGGTGTTAGCTTCAAAGTAGTAAAGATAATAATGGCATCACCTACTGAGGGCCAGGAACCATCCAAGGGCAACTCATTTTGTAGTAACTCCATAAAACAGGAATTATTATCTCCATCATAGATGAGGCTCAAGAGAAGGTAAAGTTTGACCAAGTTCTAAGGATAAACAGAAGCACACAGAAGAGCAAATTAGAGAAGGCTAAATATGGTTTAAAGTGGAGTGAGTCAAGTCCAGGAAGCAGAGAAGGGATTCTAGGCAGAGAAGCAGGCAGGTGATCTTGAGGCTCCAAAGGCTTGGCTGGCTCCAAGAAGAGTCCATTCAGGTAACAGGCTATTCCTACTTCAGAGGTTAGTAGGAATCAGATTGCGCAGGCCATGGACAAAACCAGTGTTTGAACTTGGTTATGAGGGTAGTGAGGAGCCCTTTAAAGATTTTGATGATCACATTTGCCTTCCAAAAGGAGCCAAGGCCTGCTGGCTGGGTGGGAGCCATCCTGGGGACAGTGGGCCCCATGCCCCAAGTATCTTCCTTCTGACCCTTACTCATTCTGACCTTGGCCTGTCTGTTTCAGAGTGGCCTCCCCTGGCAGTGCAGGCACCCTTCATGCCTTGAGTCGCTACAGCCGCTATACAAGCATCTTGGACCTGGACAACAAAACCCTGCGCTGTCCCCTCTACAGGGGAATGCTGGTGCCCCGCCTGGCAGACCACCGCACTCAGATCAAGCGGGGCAGCACCTATTACCTGCATGTGCAGAGCATGCTCACCCAGCTCTGCTCCAAGGCCTTCCTCTACACCTTCTGCCACCACCTGCACCTGCCTGCCTATGACAGGGAGACAGAGGAAGTGGTAGCTAGCCGCCAGCTGAGCTTCCTGAAGCTGAACCTGGGCCTAGTGAACGAGGACATCAGGGTGGTCCAGTACCTGTCTGAGCTGCTGAAGCTACACTACATGCAGGAATCTCCTGGGACCAGCAGCCCCATGCTCAGGTTTGACTATGTACCCAGCTTTTTGTATAAAATTTGAGGTTGGTCCCAGCCATTGTGACCAAGACCTGTGACTCAGGGTACAGAGAAGGGAGGAACTGTCATGCCCAAAAGGTTGCCTGAGCTGGACTGTTGAAATTTCTGGTCTCATCACTGAGAAGGAAATAGAGGTGAGAGCCCAGTTTTCTCAAGTGTCTGGATGTACAGTAAGTTTTCTTTGACTCCCTGGATAAGGGGTGTCTTTGGCTTTCTGAGGACCAGCAGCCCAACCAGGAAGAGAAAACCTCAGTCTATGTGCTAGGAAGAGGTAAGGAGTGGAGCAGCCACAGCCTGGATGGGAGAAGTATACTGGCTACATTCAGCATCACTTGAATGGCAAGAATTAGCCAGGGAACCAGCCTTTTAACTGAAGATTTGGAGAACAACAGGACGACAGAACATCTATTGCCTCATTCAGACCCCCATATGGCCCCTTATTTGGCCTCTTGGAACCCATCATCCCAGGGGAGGCTCCGGAATAAGAATGGAGAAAGACGGCTCTGGCCAGCTGAGAAGTGGGAAACACACTTCTAGGCTCCAGGGTTGCAGAGAACATGAGCAGCCCGTTTGGTCTCACCTTCACAGGGAGGGAAGCATCTGTAAGTGGCCCTTGGAGAATATTCCTTATAGTCACTAGGCCCAGATATGAAACAGGTACCAGATAGCCACAGCAAATGTGAGGGACACCCTGGGAACTGCAAATGGAGCCAACCAGGGGGCCACAAGGCTGTCTGCACTGTGCAAATGATGAACTGTCAGTTCTGAGGCTGCCATGGGCTTTTTCTAGCCAGAGTGCATGTCCATTGTTTCCTGGGAAGGTCACATGCCAGGACTCAGCAGAGGTCATAACACCAGTTGCCACTCACAGCAAACCTTTGCAACCACTTCACTACCTCTCATGGGGTCTTACGGGCTTGGTGACAGTGGCTTTGTGTTCAGCTGGCTGGTATGGATGGTCAGCGCAGCTGGTAGGAACGGAGATGGCAGGGACTTTGTTGGCTAGCTCCCACATGGCTCTTCTTGTGGAGCTGGCTTTGGGAGGCTGTGCTTACCTGTCCCCAGAGCTCACAACTGTCCCTATGCAAGTCCCTTTTCAAACATGGTATTGTCCTTTGGCATCTCCATCACCTTTCCCATTGCTGGTGATCAGCATGGCCTCCTTACAAGCTGTCACTGATGTATAGCCAGGGTTTCTAATCTTAAAAAAAAAATCTCATACTTTTTTTTTAATGCTATGTTTTTCCCTATAAGTAGGGACAATGCTGGGTATTAATGCTGCTTTTTAAATTTGTTACATGAAAACTGGTAAACTAGACCTGAGTCAGTCCTATGTGTGCACCTGTCAGGCTGTGTCCCTTGCACTTGGGTCCTGCTGTTGTGGCCTGGTCTTCTCAGCCTATGCACATCACTGAGGGAGCCAGCTTTGCTTTTCACTGAGGCTGCAGAGACTTGGTAGAAACCCAAGACAGCTTGTATCACATCACTTCTTCAGTCATCTTCCTTGCCCAGGTCCTTGGCACAAAGGTATGGCCTGTTGGCTTCAGCCATTGGCTTCCCATCAGGGACCTTGTTCCTATCAGAGTATGTGACATTTATTCTGAGGCTGTGACTGAGAAACTTTTGTGGCACATTGTACTGCCTACATCTTATTAGTTCTTTGTATCTCTGCCTGTTACACGTCAAAGGACACCTTGACAGATTATGACTGGAATATCCACTGTGTTTCTCTTTATGGGCTTTTTATCTGTTACCACTTCCCCACAGTATTTTAAATGCTGCTTTGCTGTCTAACTGGTTGGCTATGTCCTGTCTTATACCTGCAAAGATAGACATGACCATGGAGTGATCTTGAAGAAAGATCTGTGAAGTCCAAGAGATGGGCTGGAAGTGGTCACTGGCACCACTGTTGTTGCCTGTGTGTCACACCATCGAAATGTACTGTGCTTACCTGGAAAACTGACAGGTGGGAGATGAGCTTTGTGCAGATGTTAAACTGCAGCCCTACCTGTAGCTATAGCCATGCACTGCAGTGGTCTTAAGTGGAAGTCCATGGGGGTGGTTTTGGGGTTGTGGGTGGTTGTGTTTCTCAGTTTTTAGACCCAGACTGGCTCAGAAGATGAAGGCAGGTGACTTGTGAGGAGTGAACAGAATAGATGGCTCCAAGGAGTGTTTCCAGAAATGGCAAAGTGGTTCTTCATGAAGATGCTTTTCCTGATTAGGGGTTGAACTTACAAGATTTAAATTTTGGTTACAAATCGTTTCTGTATGGCAATTTGAAGGGATTATTTAACACAAAGCATGCTTCCTTTCAAGAGGGCCCTCAATGGGGTTGGGACTGAGTCACACTTGGGCAGAGGCAGTTAATACCGGATGCTCTCCTCCCAGCTTCTTCATTTTGGAAGATTTGAAGCCTCTAGCTAGAAGTCTCACCTTGACAATGTGAAGACCCATGCAGTGGGACTAATCTCTTCAAGAATGTTAATCTATGGTATTCTTCTAGTAATGGGCTAAGAAGTTTTAATCAACATTTAAAGACATTTCCTACAAAGGAGATGACATCCACATTCCTTTTTACTTCTTTACTCCTATCACTTTGGGGCCCACTACTGAAACTGGCAGAGCTTGGTTTCAACTTGACCTCCAACCTATTCTCTCTTCCCTTATTTCATAACAGTCCAGTTGAAGAGCCATCTGATTAGGCTGGCAGTGACACTTGCAGAGGCTCCATTTTAGAGATCAGTCCATGGCTTCCTTTAACATATGGGGCAGGTAGGGTATGCTGGCCTGAGGTGCTGTTTCCTGTCTCAATATTTCCCTAGAACCCTTACTTCTTTGGTGGAATCTTTGGATTTTAGAAACTGTGACTCTTTCACAACGTAGAGTAATGGCTGAAGTTATACACATCGCTTCTGGGTTTAGAAATGGACTGTGATGGTGAACCTGTCATTCCCCATCTTGCTTTTAACCTTTTTCAGATCAGTTGCTATATTCAAAGTATAGAATACTTCAACCCCACACCAATTCAAAAGTTCTACTTCAAATTTCTGAGGTCAGTAGACTTCATCCCAAGTACCAGAGCTGCTGTGGTGTACCATATGATCTAGAGACAAAGTGCAGCCCTCCACTCCTTGGATATCTTGCACGTGCTCTGTCCATTTGCCAGTGCTAAGTGCGTGCCCCATGCCCAAACTCGAGTGCTGCATGTGGGCCAGTGTCTTGTCCTGTTGTGTTACAGCTTTGCCTGCAGGGCCAGCAGCACCATCTGAGCCAACAAGGAGAGGTGCTGGCAGGCATACAAGGCCTCTGGAAGAACTAAGCTGTCATGGCAGGCAAGTAGGCTTTTCCCAGGCTCCTTTACCTTCCACCTACCTAGAAAGCTCACAAGGAAATGTCTTGGCTTAGGCTTTGAAGCAAACTAGCCAGCTTTTGGCTTTGGCCCAAAACTGTGATCAAAAGAAACAGAATTGGAATTTTTAAGAGACAAAAGTATTAAGAGTCTGCAAAAAGCTAAAAAGATCAAATTTGTACTTCTGGATGGAAAAGGTTGGGCAAAGTAAGTTTTCCCCACCTCCCTCCCTCGAGCCCCTGGTCTATTAAGTTTGGTGAAAGCTTTGGGAAAGATGTGCCAGTAGATGGAAGAGTGGGGATAAGCTGAACATGCTCCATCTTGCTAACCTGCTGGTGTGTAACTCAACTTCCCAGGAAGGCCTGCTTAGCTTCCAACTGGAGATCACACACCAGGGGTCTTGGAGTTAGCCCACTGTCTTCACCTAGAGTCAAGCCTCCAAATTTAAGACAGCTGAGGCAGCAGATCAGCTCCCAAATCAGGGGCAGACATGTAGGAACTGAAATCACCCACATCCATTGGGGACCTGGTGCAGCTGTCTCCACACTGCAGTGATGAAATACCAATTAGGTTGGACCCTAAGCCATGGGGGTCCATTACCTCCAATGCAGGACCCCAGGGAGCCTCTGCCAGGCTGTCTGACAGTGGATACTTGGAGCCACAGTTTGGACTGAGATAAATGCCACCCTAGAGGTTGCAGTGAGAAAAAGCATAGTCTGTGCTGAACTCATAGTTATTTTCTAAAAAGCTATTTTATTAGTGCATGTCTTGTGTCAGTGAATGTCTGTCCTGACCTCATGAGCTGAGTCATTAAAGTGGCTAAAGCCAGAGTATGACTGATGTGTGTGATAGTATTTCACAGGTGTGATTGCACAAGAGTTTAACTAGAGTAAATGCCAAACATAGTATGAGGAGTATACTTTTTAAGAAATTTATTTATTTGAGTTTAGATATTTTTGAAATATAAAAATTGGTTGTATTTTTTAAAGCTATGATTCTTGTAGACATTGTGGTTAAAAATTTGTGCTTATTAAAAATGGTCATGTATGGTTTGCATCTCAGCTATGTGAAAAATAAAAATTCTCTGGGAAGGTGACATTTGGATTTTTGACTGTAGGAGGGAGTTGGTTATCTTGAGCAGAGCAAAAAAACCTGTATTAGAACTGATTGTTGGGCTGGAGATTCAGCTTAGTGGTTCCGTCGCCTGCTTCACAAGCACAAGGACTGGAGTTCGATCCCCAGTACCAAAAACAAAACAAAATAAAAACGACTGTCACACCAGGAAGAAAGTGGGCATTTCCCTGGGTGGAAAAAAAAAAAATTCTTTCAACTTTTAAAATTTTTGGTTTTTCTGAGACAGGGTCTTGCTCTGTGGTCCAGGCTGGCCTTCAACTTCTGGCAGTCTTCCTGCCTCTGCCTCTCCAGTAGCCACCATGTCCAGCTAACCATTTCTTTCTTTCTTTTTTTTTTTTGGTACCGGGGATTGAACTTGGGTCCTTGTGCTTGCAAGGCAGGCCACCGAACTGCTGAGCTAAATCCCCGGCCCACCATTTCTTTTTAATAAGTTTTTTGGTGTTGAAGATTGAATCCAGGGTCTTGTATATGCCAAGCATGTGCTCTACTTATGAGTGACAACCCAATCCTTCATACTGTGAGCTGCTGACACCAGCTGGGTATATCTTGTACACTTATTTAATTTTAAAGCACAAAGCAGGAGACTCAAAATTACCCACTGCAGTTGTAATAGAATTCAGTGCTTCTTTGCCAACTTACTGACCAATGAAACAGGAATGGGCAACATTTACAATCTATGAACCTGGGTATTTCTTACCTGTCACAGCGAGTCAAGGAAGCCCCAAGAAAAGTAAAAACACCGGAATCTTTCTAATGGCTTTGTCCTGTACCATTTTATAAATGATCAACTTGGCTACATAGTATTTTATTTTTCCAGAGTAATTATATATAGTTGAGAAAGTTAGATTAAAATTTAAATTCCTTAATAACCCGTCCCAGAATTATTAACAATGGGACTTAGATCTAAGTTTTGATTTGTGAAAACATGAAAATAGCCTGTAAGAGATGCTCCTCAAGAGGGACAGTGCAACTTAGTGGTCATGTGTGGCAGCTCTGTTGTCTCAAGAGGGTACTGGCCCCTTAGCAGGTATCCCTGGGCAATCAGAGTGTATGGCACCAAGGCAGGTGCAGAGCAGAATGGCTCTTTCAGAAGTCAGGTAGGCCAGGCAGTGGGAAGAGAGAAGCAAAGCTCTCTACTTCATCCCGGAGAGCCCGCACGGCCCTCTGGTGCTTCTCATCTCCTGCCAGCTTTTCCTTGAACTCCTTCAGTGTGGCCCTTGAGCCCACGTCGTTCTGAATCTGTAGAGTCAGCTCTATACCTGTGCACAAGATAGTCCCCCGTGAGCTTGTCTCATGCTAGACACACCAAGGGAAAGAACATTTGGGAGCCAGAGTAGTATCTCCCTGGGCTGGGCGCGATTGAGATTTATGGCTGTCAGTTTTCCCCTCAGACATTGATTCTCATGCGTGGTGTCCCTGAACAGATGACCCTGGGCAGCACACATTTATAAACCTCTTAAATAAGATGAGTTGCTAGAGTGGTTTTGCTATCCCCTGTCCCCAGCAATCAGCTTTGACAGAACTATCCTTTGGTGGTGGTTATCTCAGCTACTCAGATACAGTCAGAAACATCTTACACATAATAAAATTTGGCATATCTCTAAAATTTTATCCTTACCTTTATGGATAAAGTATGCTACTTTTTGGAAGTCTTTTTCCAAAAGTCCTCGGGTTGTCAGTGCTGGGGTTCCCAGTCGGAGTCCACTGGGCCTCAGTGCGCTTCTGTCACCTTTAAGACAAACAGGTCTCTGTCCCTAAGCTGCACACCCAGTGTGCATCACTGCAGTCACTATGCATTTAAAAAGGGACATTTTGGCAAAAAGAATTGGCTTAAGGCTCTTTATCTTGCCAGAAGAGTACAGCTGATTTAAAAACTAGAAATAGAGGGGCCAGGAATTTAGCTCAGTGGCAACACACCTGCCCTGCAAGCCCAAGGTCCTGAATTCAATCCCCAGTACCAAAAAAACCCCAAAAAACTAGAGGGAGAACCAAAGGCACAAGTAGGCAGGATCACATTTGGGTCACTGGTGTTTTTTTTGTTTTGTTACTGGGGATCAAACTCCAGACCTTCTTGTTGTGCACCTGCGGTGCTACTGAGCTAAGTCCCTGGTCCTAGAAATGCTGCCAGTTTTTAAGAGACCCTACCTCAATAACTGTGCCACTGAAGCCTCCACAGCCTTTTTCCTTGTGGTGCCCACAAGACAAAGACTAAGTGTAAAGAAGCCCAGGGCTAGCTCCCTGCTACATGTATCTATCTCGCCATGCCAGTTACCTTTATTAGCTTAACTTTGACCAGAAGAGGTACAAAGAGGAGGAGTACAGAAAAGAAGACCAAGGAAAAGTCTCACCTGGGCAGGTATTCTTGTTGCAGGCAATAGAACAGGCTTCTAGCACCTTCTCAGCCCTCCCACCATCTGTGCCCTTGGAACGTAGATCCACAAGGATCAAATGGTTGTCAGAACCACCTGGAAACAGAGTCGGACAGAAGGGTGACCATCAGGTTAAGGAACCTTTCTTCCTGAGAAATGTGGGTAGGGAGCTGGTGGCAGTGATGGAAGAATTCAGGGCCATAGAGGTCAAAAAAGTGAGAACCCATCATGTGGCCCAGAATATCAATAATCCACAAGAGAAAAAAAAATGCTCTAGGCCCAGGGATTGACAAGGAAAGGACAGAATACATGTATAAGTGGGTAGCTGATAACACAGAGGTAGAATGTGAAGCTGCTAGGTAAAATACCCAGCAGCTTTTGTAGCCCAGACTGCCCACACCCATGACACAACATAACAGGTGCCAGCAAGGCTGCAGTGTGCCTGTCTTCATAGTTTCTCGTTTCTCTGATGACTTGGGAATTTCCCAAGTGTCTCCTAGACATCAGTCTGCAGTGTCTGGGAGGCAAATGGCAACCTTAGAGTCAGTTCTTCCCTGGAAAACAGAGCTTGCTCTTGGGCAATAGCTCCAGTATGGTTTGTATTAAAGCAAAGAGAGCTGTAGCAAGCCACTGCCAAGAAAATGCAACCAATCTGCCTCCATTCCTGAGCACCCTGAGTTCAGGCCATACTTTAGAGAAGGTGCTGGCTGTGTCATCTACCAAGTATGTGATGATTATAGCCTTGCCTCTCTCAGGTACTTCCCCACAAAGCTGTGTAATGATGTGTCATCTTCACACAGGATGACCAACAGCAGCTATGGCCATCATTTTTGGTTTACCTGAGGGGCCAGCCAGCATGGCACAAAAGGAGAAGCCACAAAGGAGGACGTTCAGCTGAGAGCACACTGATTTAGTCCAGAGGTAGCCTGAGTTGTTGTAGCTGCAGTGACAGTGCCCATAACCACTACCCTCTGGGCCACATACTGACCAGAGGAATTAAAGGCAAGGCTTTAATAATGTATCTACCCTGAAAGACAGCAGATATGCGCGTCACCCTGTGTGCGTACCTGTGACAATTTTGTAACCCAGCTCTGTAAGGGCCTTGGACAGAGCTCTGCAGTTGGCCACTACCTGGAGCTGATAGATTTTGAATTCTGTAGTCATGGCTTGCTTCAGGGCCACAGCAATACCTGGACAAGGAGACAGTGGGTTAGGGAGGCAAGACCAAATTCAAAGACAGTGAGGGCCAGAGGAGATTCAGCTCAGTGGTGCCACCGTCTGCCTTGAAAGCACGAGGCTCCAAGTTCAATCCCCAATACCAAAAAAAAAAAAAAGACAGTGATTCAAAAGCATCTCATTTGTACTCAAATGTCCTTGCTTTTACAATGTCACCCAAGGGAGTATAGATTATATTTTCTCCAAAAATAATTTTTTTAATGGTGCTGGGGATGGAATCCAGGGCTTTGTATGTGCTAAGTACATACTCTACCATGGAGGCATGCCCCCAGCCCCATTTCTTTAACCACTTAACAGTTTACCTCAAATGTCACATGGGCAGCATGCTTACATGTCATTTCAACCAGTCAATTCTTTTTTTTGAGGGGGGGCGGTTTGAGACAGGGTCTCACTATGTAGTTGAGACTGACCTGGAACTCACATGTAGCCCAGGCTAGTCTCGAACTCACTCACAGTGATCCTCCTGCCTCAGCCTCCCGAGTGCTGGGATTACAGGCATGTGCCATCACACCCGGCTTCAACCAGTCAATTCTTGTACTGAATAAATTTGATAAAATTGTCATTTTTAGGTTTCCTGATATAAAAATTTTTAACAAGAAAATAGTCGCCACGTGTGGTGGCACACACCTGTAATCCTAGCACTCAGGAGGCTGAGACAGGAGGATCACTGTGAGTTCAAGACCAGCCTGGGCTACATAGTGAGTTCCAGGTCAGTCTCAACTACATAGTGAGACCCTGTCTCAAAAAAACAAACAAACAAAAAAAAAAAACAAAAGCAATTTTTTTTGGTCATCCCATATTTAAAAAATTAGACTAGTAAGCGGTTAACCCTACAATTGCCTGACTAAACTCACATGCTTACTGAGGAAGCCTCTCTGAGATCTGTTTTTGAGGTAAATTTCCTTCAGGCATGGAAGTTCAGTACTATAAGACCACAAAAAAGCCAGCTAAGCAAGACAGATTTTATATTGTAGTTCTTTTTAAGCCTGATGTGTGAAAACGATTCCTTAGATACTCAAAAAGCTGGTGTTTAGATGTCAAGTCATGCAGATTTGTCAGATCCAAGTCTGGATGGGAGAAGTTCTATTCATGCATTCATTCCTCATGGCTGCTTTCTTAATGGGACATAAAAATGAAGGTTCAGGGCTGGGGATTTAGTTCAGTGGTTCCGTCACCTGCCTTGCAAGCCCAAGGACCTGAGTTCAATCTCCGTACCAAAAAAAAAAAAAAAAATGTTCATAGCTGGGTGTGGTTGTACATGTCTGTAATCCCAGCATTCTGAGAGGCCGAAGCAGGAGAATTGAAAGTTCAAGCCCAGCCCGGACAACTTTGTGAGGCCAGCTTGAAGTTAAAAGACAAAACAAAGCAAAACTGGGGATGTAGATCAGTATGAAGAACTCGAACACAAACCCCATAGGGTGGGAGGGGAAGAAAGGAAAAAAAAAAAAAAGAGAGAAAATGGAGGGTCACCCCAAATCCATGCACTTGAATGCAGGCATGAAGTCCCCAGGTGATGCTTGTGGTAACAATGGGAAAGGCCCATGGTGGTTTTTGCACACTGTGGGGCTCAGCATTCCACATGGAACTGTAGATGCTGAGCACAATGCATAGTGGAAGAACCTGAAAATCCTCTTGGTATTCTGGGAGCTCTTATGCCTGCAACTCCACCAATGGCCACTTTCACTATCTCCTTAGAAACACTAGTGCTTCTCATCATATGAGTACTACCAATTGCTTTGCTGCAAAAGGGCAGTGGGTAACTCTGAGACCATCACACATGGCCTAAACCACTTGTTCAAATGTAAGAAATAAGTCAACGAGAGCCAGCTGGGCAGTCATGGACCTGCTCTCACAAGTAGGGTCAGAGGTGCCCCCACCTCTACAGACAAGGGCCATCAGGGAGCAGCAGTTCATCCTTCAGGTTTGTACCCTAGTCTTCCTCACCCTTTGTTATGCCCTTGTCTATGTGAGTGCTTCTCTACTGTCTTTCAGAGGTCTCTGCAACCTTTACAAAACTTGGCCTGATCCAGTTTCCTAAGGGTGGTCATACCAGCAGAGCAGACACCATTTCCTCCTGTCACCACCCTGTATAAATTTCAATCACTTCCCTTTTCTTTGTGTTAGATCTCCTGGACAGAGATCATCCCTTAAGTTTCTTCCCCAGTGTGGGAGTCCTGGCACAGGCTTTGGAGGACAAGTGAGATGGAAATTAGAAAACAGGGCTGACGACCAGACAGCATAAGGGCCACTATGGCCAATTGTACACCCTGAGTGCCACCTGAGGGCTCTGTGACTCTTTACCAGCAATGGCATGGTTGTGGGGACCTCCCTGCAGGCCTGGGAACACAGCAGAATTGATGAGTGACTCCAGATTGTACAGGGTCTCTTTGCCAGTCTTGGGATCCACACTGCATACTCCTGAGTGAAAAAAAACATCAGAATGTGATCCTGCATGTTGCCCCATTTGGACTCCAACCCCAACTAGCTGTGGAGTGTTAAGCCTTTATTCTTCACGGTAAGGGCTGCTGGTCCGTGATGCTGACGCAGAGGGAGCCCTTGCTTCTTGTAAGCAGACACCTTGTTTGCAAAAACAAGGACATCAAGGATAGAAGATTCTGGAGGAACACTGATTTCAACACCTCCATCATATACTTGCCCCTGCTGATCATATCTCTTTTTAACAATACATGATCATAATGTGGCCTTAATGAGGCCTTGAAACTTAAAGGACAGAAATTATTTTTCATGAGACTATAACAAAGCATATACCTTGAGAGCTTCCTTATATGTGTCCAGGGTAATGATGTGATAGAGATATTGCCCAAACAGCTAATTATGGAGAAGAAGGTTTCTTTCTGAGAAAATGTTTAAATAGCAATGAAAACTACTGTTCAATATAAGCAATCCTAATATCTATATAGAACTTCTTGTGAGTCAAGAACTCCTTTAAATACTTTAGTAAATTCATTTCAGCCCCAAATAGCAGTCCAGAGTACTATTATTACCATAGACCCCCACCCTGGAGGTGAGGAAAGGAGCCTCCAGAAAAGCTTCTCAGAAAGCCCAAGATCATGCAGTGAGCAGCAGAACTACTCTCTGCTCAGGTTGGCTGGTTTGAATCAGCTGGCCCTGGTTCCAGTGAATTGCATCCACACAAAGTAGGAAACCCCAATGTCTCCTAGGCAGATGGAAATGGCTGTCTAGCTCAGAAACATCCACCTAGCTAAAGAAAATTCTCCAAGGAGCTCAGGCCACGGTCACTGGGATGCTGAGTAGGCACTTGGTTGGCTCTAGCCCTGCCAGGCAACACAAGGAGACCAGCATCAAAGCAGAGAGTAATGCTGAGTCAAAATTGGGGCATTGGATATCAGCATGAGTGTGGCTAAATGATGATCTGACCACTAAGGTGGCTTTCCAAGGTGTGGGAGTCCCAAAAAGGGGTAGTGAGTACCTAAATGTGGGTTATAAGGTAGTGGAGAAATTCCTTACTAGGATGATTATACTTTAATTAGGTTTATGCATCAGTGTCTTAAGTTTGATCACTGAGTCCTGCTCTTTGAGAAACATGCTATACCACAGTAAATTCACCAAAATAATGCTGTACCCTGGGGCCTCCTGATAGCCCCCCTATCATGCATAACACCTTCCTTTTGTTCAACATCTGCTTCTTGTGGAGACAATTAGTTGAGCAAAAAGGACATCAGCAGCCAGCACTATTACAACACACAGTGCTGCTAATCCTCTTTCTGTTTTTCTAGCATTTGGATACACAGAAATGAAGCCAAAGCTGTGGCCTTCTAGATCTTTTCTATAAAGACCATCGATGATTCTACCTAAGTAGCTCCTTTAAGTGCCTGAATCTTAGTATTTTCAAGAAATCCCAGGTCAGACTTTGTTTCCTAGCTTCCTCAACCAAACCTGAACCCACAGGAGAAATGTCAGCCCCAGCACACATCTGTCCCCAGCACTTGGGAGCTCACCTTTCCTATAGAAGATCATGCCAGCCCGGGAGCCTCTCAGTGTCTTATGGGTTGTGGTGGTTACCACATGGCAGTGCTCAAAAGGGGAGGGCACCACGCCAGCTGCCACCAGCCCACTGATGTGTGCCATGTCTGCCATGAGATATGCACCGTTCTCATCTGCAATCTTCCGCAAACGTGCATAGTCCAGGTTTCGAGAGTAACAGCTGGTTCCTGGGACAGAAGAAATGATAGAGCAGTCAGAGATGTGCATAGGCAGCTAAGTTGGCTTCAGTGGAAATCTGCAGAGTGGCCTCTGAATATGCAGATTTGAAATTCTTAAGATTACCTACCTCCCTAAAATATCTGAAGACAGAAACAGAAACTGCTATCAAAAAACAAGTCTGTGCTGCACACAACCCCTCTGATCTGCCTCTTCAAGGTCATGGTGATTGAGATAGCTTGTAACTATTATTACCAATCCCAACAAGTCGGGAGAGATTTCTATTTCTAACTGTTGCTCAGAGGACAGCTTCAGCTTTTATTCTGCAATGTACTAATGGTGGCAAACAGAGCTATGTGTTTTAAGAGAAAAGAATATACTTTGACCTGAACCCAGCTATACACAGCAGAAACTAGCAGTGCCATTGGACAGGGAGGGAGCATCTTCACATTCTCTTCTATAGGAGGCACAGGTGCTGCCTCCAAATAAAGCCACTTGTTGCCCTGCTCCTCACCAGCAATGATCAGCTTTGGGTGGAAGAGGCGGGCATTTTCCTCCAGCTGGTCGTAGTTGATGAAGCCAGTGTCCAGATACACCTGTGATGTCAGGGGGACACAGGCTTAGCTGTTTCTGTGGTCAAAAATGCCCCCTGCCCGCCCACATGAACCACCCCACCTACCTACTGTGACAATAGGAACAGTGTCCCAACCAGGCCCTGAAAGTGAGGCAGGGCATAGTGTGTTTAGCATGCTCAAGTGGTGTAGGCAACCCAGTGGTGCTCACATCCCAAGAATGTTCTCAGGGGCCTCTCAGAGGGAGAAAGAGCCCCTGGGTGACACCCCTGGATGAAGAGGAACCAAAAGCCCTCAGAGAGTAAAGAGGACGCAATCAACTGGCCCCACAGTCCAAAGCACTGTTACCTTCAGAAATGAGACAAAATGCCTGCTAACACCACTTATATTCCAAGTACCGTGAGGCAAGAAAAAGAAAAAGCATGAAGGTTAGGACAGAAGAAATTAAAAACAAAACCCAAAAAACCTGACACTACTTACAGACAGCATGACTGTATACTCAGAACTATTTCGCCTCCGTGACACCCCTCTGCCATGTGCTACTCTGCCTTGGAGCCTGCTGATTATGAACTGAAACCTCTACAAATTGTGAGCTGAATAAACCCTTTCTTTCCCCTTTAACTATTGTTAAAGTTGGGTATTTTGTCTCAGCAACAAAAGGAAAGTAACACAAAACTATTAAAATGAGTACATGAAATTAGCAAGGTCACTCAATACAGCCTCAAAAACCAAATATTGAGCTGGATTACTATGTAGTTCAGGGATAGAGCACATTCTTAGGATGTACTAGGCCTATGGTGGTGAACCTATGCATACACACTGCACCAAGCTGCGTGGATCACTGAAAGCTCTAAAAGATTTGCCATCACTGCACTAGGCCCTGTGTTTGATACTTCACCACCAAAACACCCAAAGCCAAAATACAATTATATATATGTACATATAATCAATTAAAAAGAAAAAGATAATGAAACCAGGCAGGGTGGCATATGCCCAAAACCCCAATTCTTTGATTTGTGTTTTGTTTTTTGAGACAGGGTCTCACTACATAGTTGAGACTGACCTGGAACTATGTAGCCCACGCTGGTCTCGAACTCACAGTGATCCTCCTGCCTCAGCCTCCCGAGTGCTGGGATTACAGGCATGCGCCACCATGCCCAGCCCAAAATTCCAATTCTTGAGAGACTGAGGCAGTAGGATTGTAAGTTGGAGGCCAGCCTGGGCTATATGGTGATATCTTGACTCAAAAAACCAAAAAGAAAAAGAAATGAAAATGAAATTTCAATACCATTATGCATCAAAACCCAAAAAGTATCTAATACAAGATGTACAATACAATATTACTGAAATTTTAAAACACTGTAGTAATGAGGGCAGTGTATGTGCAATAGCAGACAATCTGAGTGATAGAACAGGACAGAGCCCAGAAATAAAAGCCCACATGATACAGGTCATCTGGTGGAACTAAGCGATGACCTGGCAGTGCAAAAGGGGGCGAGGATGGCCTTTTAACAAATGGCTCTAGGTACCCGTGTGAAAAAATGTTATCTGATGCCACCTCACATTACACACAGAAATCAATTCCAGATCCAGCAGTCTCCCTTCTGAGTGTACATTCTAAGGACTTGGAATCAGTTTGTCCAAAACACATCTGCACTCCCGTGTTCACTGCAATACTGCTCACAGTAGGCAAGACATGGAAACAGCACAAGTGCCCACCAAGTGATGAATGGATTAAAATAAAAACTGCAGTGCTTGCTTACATACAACAGCTGAGGTACTTTAAGGCAGTGCCACCTTAAAAAAAATAAAAAAAGGGCCGGGGATTTAGTTCAGTGGTTCCTCCACTTGCCTTGCAAGCACAAGGACCTGAGTTAGATCCCAGGTACCCACCCACCCCCAAAAAAGGAAATCCTGTCATTTGTGACACCCCAGATAAATCTTTTTTTTTGGTACCAGGGATTGCTCAGGACTTTGGACTTGCCAGGCAGGCACTATGCTGCCTGGCCCTGAATCTTTAAGACATTACGCTCCATAAAATAAACTAGGAACAGAAACACAAAACCCACATGTTGTCATGTATGTGTGGAATCTAAAGTAATCGAACTCAAAGAAGCAGAGAATAGGTGCTTTGCAAAAATGCTGGGAGGAGAGAGCAATGGGGAGATATCAGTCCAAGGGTACAAACTTGCAATTATGAGGAATAAGTGATAAGTATTTCAGGAGATGGATATGTTAATTAAAATGATTCAATTATTCTATACTGTACATATACATGTATCATAGTGTACTAGGCACTTCATGGTTATATAATAATTTGTCAAAAAACTGAATAAAAATTTAAAAAATCAATTCCAGATGGATTACAAATCTTAATATGAACAAAAAATATTTTTCTTTTTTTGGCAGTGTTAAGTATGGAACCTAGGGTCTCACACAATCTAGGCAAGCGCTCTACCACTAAGCCACAATAATAATATTTTTTTCACAATACATTTCTTATTAGTTTGGTTTATTAAAGTTACGTTAAAGCATATAGGTGAAGAAGAAGCAAACACTATCAAGAGGATCACTGCAGAGAAACCTCTGGAGTCTGGGATGGAGGAAGCATCAGGGGAGGAGGCACTGACAGATACTTTATGTTCTATACCCCTACTCCCAAGATTCCTTCTTTTCATCTGCTTGGCCCTACCACAAACTACTAGCACACACAGAGTGAAAGGTTTCAGGCTTGGTACTCACTGTTGAATAAAACAAGCTGAGGTTGGGTGTGGTGGCACACATCTGTAATCCCAGCACTGGGAGGCTGAGGCAGGAGGATCTCTGTGAGTTCGAGACCAGTCTGGGCTACATACTGAGTTTCAGGTCAGTCTCAATGACATAGTGAGACCCTGTCTCAAAAATCCAGAACCCCCCCCCAAAAAAAAACCAAGCTGAATGGCAAACCATTTAGAACTCCTCCTGTCTCTCAGGAAATATTCTTTTTTATTTGGCACTGAGGATTGAACTTGGGTCCTTGCACTCGCAAGGCAGGTGGTGGCACCACTGGGCTAAATACCCAGCCCCTCAGGAAGTAGTCTTAATCTATAGTCCTATTCGCCAATAAATTTTCCCACTCTTAATCTCTGTTGTTCCTTGGAATTCATTCTTTGACTTCAGGGAACTTGAACTCAGTGTATCTGACATGTTGGGAGTTACATTTGTATCATTCCTATATCAAAATCAGAGAAGAATTTAAAAAATTTTTAAAAATGAATAAAACAAGTACTTATAATCCAATATAATCAGAGGGAGGCTGTGTGCAGGGTCATAAGCACCAAAACATCTGAAAGACTCTTTGTGGTTTGGTTTTGTTCCAAGGGTGTGGCTCTTTCTTGGACACCCACAACTGGCAAAGAAGTTATCCTGATGAAATATTAGCAGCTGACCCACAGCTGAAAAAAGAAAAGGAGGGTTGGGAATTTTGCTCAGTGATTCTGCTGCCTGCCTCCCAAGCGCAAGGACCCAAGTTCAATCCCTGGTACCAAAAAAAAAGAAAAAGAAAAAGAAAAAAGAAAAGGATAGCCTGGGCAATACAGTGAGACCCTGGGTCAACAATAAAAAAGGTAGGAGCTGGGGTGTAGTTCAGTGGCAGAGTGTCTCCCCAGTATGTGTGAGGCCCTGGGTTCCAGTTCTGATACCACAAAAAGAAAAAAAGATAATTCTTTTTAAAAGTCTTTAAATACCAAAAATAAATAGATAAATAAATCAGCTTTTGCTCTCCCCATTTTTGCTTTTTAAATTTGTAAGGTTTTCAGAGATTTTATTAATTTTTTAAATCTTACAAACTAGACAAAACAGGTCCTTAGCATTTATTAACAAACTGTAGTAGGGAGGGTGAAGTGGCACATGCCTGTAATCTCAGGTACTTCGAAGGCAGAGGCAGGAAGATTACATGTTTGAGGCCAGCCTGGGTAACCTAGAGAGTTCTTATCTCAAAAAATAAAAAAGGGTTGAGGATGTGGCTCAGTGGTAGAGCTTTTACCTACCATGCACACTTGAAGTCCTGAGTTCAATCCCCAGCATTATAAACAAACAGAAACTGGTTGGCTCAGGGCAGAGGACGGTGGACAGAAAAAGAGTCTCTAAGTCCCTAGAGCCAGGGAAAGTGATTCTCCAGTCAGAGAGGTTGGGAGCAAGGTGGCTAAAAATACAATAACAGGAGGCCATGAGTGCTGTTGCTCCATAGAGAAATGAATGCCTGGTTGTGCACTGGGCAGTTGCCTGGAATCTTGGGTAGAGTGGCTGGGCCTCAAAGTCTGCAGTGGGAGGTGGTACTAGGAAAGGCTGGGTAGGGAAGCTACCCAGAGATGCTGGATGTGAAAGAGGTGGGTCTCAGTGACTGCTCATGGAGACCAATCAGGCCTGTCCCCTGTGTACTGAGCATGGGGCTCACAGCTGCCCCATGGCAGTTAAGCCACATCTCTTACAGCCCAAGCTGGCCAGGTCCTAGACCCTGCTTTTCCATAGTCCCACAAGCCTGCCATAGTGTGGGCCTCTCATTATGTCCAAGGGCTACAGCCTGCACAGCCAAACTGCGGGTGGCTGGAGGAAACTGTGGCACAGAATCTGTCCTCTTCTTGGAAAATATTCTTTAGGAATACAGCAAAGCATAAAGTTGCGTAAGGTCTCGTTGCAGGCTTCAGAAAACAAGTCAGTAATTACTCTCTGCCAAAATTCTTTTTTTTTTTTTTTTTTTATTTTTTTTTTTTTTGTCCCAGGGATTGAACTCGGGCCAAGTTTGCAAGGTAGGCGGCGGAACCACTGAGCTAAATCCCTGGCCCACCAAAATTTTTTCAATAGCAAAGAAATGGTAGGAACTAGATTTTATGTTCTAGGTTTTTAGGCAAAGTATTTTTTTACTGTTGTCACATTTAAAAATCCAGCTGTGGGACCAGGGATTTAGCTCAGTGGCACATCGCCTGCCTGGCAAGTGCAAGGTCCTGAGTTTTATCCCTGGTACCAAAAAAAAAAAAAA